AGAATAAATTGAAAATGTTTTGTTCAAAGTTACAATTAATTAGGAAGAATATCAAATAAAATAACACCGGAAACTACTTACTAATTGTAAAAATAATCAATGCTGATAACGATGATATAAGAGTACAAAGATTATTCTAAGAAGGCGAAGGGGTGGAGGATTGAAAAACGAAAAAGGGAACGAATGATATCAAGATTAAAATAAAGTTAAGGTCAAAGTAGAGACGAAGACTGTACATACTTCTTTTGTACACAAAGGCCAAGCTTCAGTTCATGGATAACCAAAGACTGTGTTGTTTATTTTCAGAAGTTGAACACGCAGGAAACGTCAGATATTTCAGCCATTTCAAAATACAACCTAAAGAATCATTATCAGAGATCCACTAAATGTTCAAGGAAAGAACTTCTGATGCATTTCCTTTCACCCTTAAGAAGTAAAACTCCTTTAAATTTCTCCCGTTGATAATAGTTGGAGCTTGTTGTTGTTGTTGTTGTTAGTGGTGGTGGTGTTGTTGGTTGGGTATCTTCATCACCCATGTCTTCTCTACGTTCACTTGAAGTTCCGCCTTCGTTGCCCTGACTCTTCCGTCAACTTGTTAGTTTTCGCCTGTACAAGTTTGTGCGACATCAGACACAGGTCATCGTTGGCGAAATCCAAGTCTTCTAGGTTCTTTTCCCCGGTTCAGCCAGCGTATCCCCCCTCTTTTCGCTCCACACGGTTTGCTGCATCATCCAGTCGACCACAATCAGGAAGATCATCGATGATAGTAGACTGCTTTCTCTTACTCCTGTCTTCGCTTCACTTCAAAGACATCACTGAGCTTTCCATTATGAATCACTTGGCAAATGGCGTCTTCATATAGTTGTTGAATCATGTTGAAGCAGCGGCTGCCTGCCAAATTACTTCACGGTCGACGCTGTCGAAAGACTTTTCAAAGTGGATGAAGTTGAGGTAGAGGGTTGACTGCCATTCTATACTCTGTTCTATGATGATGCATAGCATAGCGTTGCAGTTTGGTCCGTACATGATTTGTACTTCCTGAATCCAGCCTGCCTGTTCCGGTCGTAATTTTCAATTCAGTGCATCCTTTGGTCTCTCCAGGATGATGCGGCTTAACATTTTGCTTGAGATGGACAGAAGCATGATTCCTCGCCAGTTCAGGAGTTTGACAAGGTAGCCCTACATATATATTCTGACCAAATGGTTGTCCAAAAGAAATCAATATTCATGAAGCTCCAATTCAAAGGAGACACATCTAGTGAAGTTCTATTCCACAGGTTGTCTATAGCCATCAGAAGAACCTTTTATGCTGCTAACCTCTGCTTATCATCTTCTAGTCGGCCGATATTTGTTGCCCAGACAAAAGACAAGCTATCTAGTTCTGCCATTTCTCCAATATGCATTTACCAATTCAGCTGGTCTTGTGGAGAAAGCTATATTGGGGGGGTACAACTGGGCAGCTTAACACAAATATGTCGCTGAGTACTTACCGTCATGGCTAAGGGAGGGACAAGTGAAGTCGTCAATACGAAGTTTAATTATGTCACATTTAGTCGATAGTGATCATATAATCGACTAGACCAAAGCGTTCAATATCATTTATCGGATTCCACAAAAATCTTTCGAACAGAATTCGCATACGCATTTTGTATATAGCTGAGGCAATAGGAATTATAGAAAACAAACCTAGTCTTTGTGTGAAGAGAGAGTTAGTGTAGCCTTTTTCTCTCTCTCACTCTCTGTGTCTGCCTTAGTCAGAGAAAATCTGATAAATACCTTTATATAATTTCAAGTTGTTATTCATCGTAGACTGACATCAGTTGGAGAGGAACAAAGGAAACCTGGGAGCACTGGACAACTGTTTCGTCCTAGTATGGGACTCCTCAGCAGTGCGCACCCACGACCGCACACCAGCAGGGATCGAACCCGCAACCTTCAGGTTCCGCGGCCAGCGCGTTACCATTGAGCCAATGCTTCATATTTCCGACTTCTGTTACCTCATGATAACGATATAAATTCAATTTTTATTCTCTTCCCCCCTTTCACATACATGTTTGCTGATCTACACATTTCACCCTTTAATATTACGTAATCGCTTTTTTTCTAATATTTTTCTAAGATGTAGTTTAACGATTACAACAATAGTTAATATGTGTACGAGATTTCACTTTTCAAGGTCATTGAGTATGCATACCATCAGCTAAATAGTAGTAAATATTTGTGAATAGGTCATAAAGAAGTTATCCAGATATGCTGGAATATGCGACTAGAATAAAACTCTTAAATTATGAAAAGTATAAGGTTGCAGAACACGAAATAATTCAATGAATGCACCGTTTTAAAATCAGACATTCCAGACAAATGATTGTGTAAAAATAACAATTCTACTCAAGAGAACAAAGACAATACACTAACATATTTCTTCTATAACATTCAGATTAATGTCTAGTGCATATTATCGATACACTTTGAGATGAAATTTCTTGAAGTTCTGATCAAGAGTCATCACCGGAGAAAACTAAGCAGCCTTTAATTCTGGCCGCGGGTATATCGACCAAATATTCACACTGCTCCAGGTCCTGGAACATAGGCATGCTTACAGACTCCCGATAATAGCTGTATTTCTCGACCTGAAGGTGGCATTTGACTCCGTTAATCGAGAAGTCTTATGGCAATGTCTCTCACTGAAAGGCGTGCCTAGTAAGTACATCACCTTATTCAAAGCTCTCTACTCGAACACTTGTGGGCATGTAAGAGCCTATGGCGAGTTGTCCAGGAAGCTATACTCATCAAGTGGTGTCCGTCAAGGATGCCCACTATCTCCATTCTTACTTAATTTTACCATCGATATTCTTATGGAGGTCTCCCTCCCGTCACCTGACTACACAGACGTTGACCTAATCACAGGTGGATTTTCGTTAGATCTAGAATATACAGATGACATAGTCCTGTTAGGTGAAGACGCTGAATGATGTCTTCTGAACACTTTGAGTGGAAATTTGAGAATGTTAGAGATGCAATTTTCACCACCCAAATGCAAATTTTTGCTCCAGGACTGGTCTTCAGCGGTACCGTGGCTAACAACAGAGAGTGAGTGTAGTGGTTGAGTGTGTCGACCACTTCACTTACCTGGGAAGTAGGATCAACCCTGGTGCGTTGGTCAGTTTTCGATGAAATCTCTGCACGAATACAAAAGGCTCGATTGGCTTTTGCCAATTTGCGCCACCTATGGCGCCGCCGTGATATTCGTTTGTCTATTAAGGGTCGCGTGTACTGCACAACAGTCCGGTCTGTTCTACTGTATGGCTGTGAAACATGGCCATTGAAAGTGGAAGACATGAGAAGGTTACAGGTATTTGACCACCATTGCCTTCGTAGTATAGGCCACCGTATTCCCTGGTGTCACCACACCACGTGAGTAATGCAGAAGTCAGGCATAGAGTTGGTTTAAGCCATGTAGGACGATGCAGACTAGGTGGTTGGGGTCCACAGGATAAGAAGAACCAGTGGTTGGAGATAGACTCTAGGTGATATGGCTGAGAACCGATGTCAGTGGCGCAAATGTTTCCCCCCCCCCCCGGCTATACCGAATCTCACCATTTTGTCACTCCTCTTTTCTTTCTTCTCATACTTTATATTTCTTTTGACTGCATTCACTTATCTTTATCCTTCACCTCACTACCTTTCTACTTGGTGAACTGACGTGAGGTGTGACAACTCGGATTGTTATGCAGTAATGCCTGTTCCTATGTTGATAATGATCATGATGATGATGATGATGAGTATCAAATGTATCTTAATTTATACATTAGACATGAATTTCTATAGATACTTTTCAATGAATACAATATTCGTGAATAACTTATAAAAGGAATGTGACAAACATATTACTTCACCAAAATTTGTTAACACAAAACAATAAAGGATTGAAACAGTCAACTGAAGCTGAAAACAACAGAAGGAAAAGATGTGAAATCCATTACAAGCCTGATTGTGTTTTGCATTATTCACGCCTATATCTTAATCCGGATATTTGAACACAACGATAATATCACTTACTAGTGACTAGTGACTTAACCTTTTGTCAAGATCTGGTTCAATTATCAGTAAACAGAAAATATTATAGTCATATATTTCGTGAAGATAACCTCGCCTGGTTAACTAGTTCACTAGTTATTAGCCGGTCCTAAGCCCGGGTAAAGAGGGAAGGTTGGGCATAGCATTGGGATAGCAACCCTACCCCACAAAATCAATCCAACCACCAAAGAAACTTCAAAGTAATTTGGAAACTGCTTCATTACTACGGAGTACCGCAAACCTTTATCCGCCTCATTCAATAACTATATGAAGATGCCACATGCCAAGTAATTCACAATGGGAAGCTAAGTGATGCTTTTGAAGTGAAGACAGGAGTGAAACAAGGTTGCCACCTACTATCACCCATCATATTCCTGATTGTGGTAGACTGGATCATGCAGCAAACAGTGAGGAGCGAGAAGAGGGAAATACGGCGGCTGGACCGCAGAAAACAACCTACAAGACTTGAATTTCGCCAACGATGACTTGTGCCTGATGTCGCACAAAATTGAACATCTACAGGCAAAAACTAACAAGTTGACAGAAGAGGCAGCGAGGGAAGACGGGACTTCAAGTGAATATAGAGAAGACAGAAGTGATGAAGATACCGCACCACCACCACCAACAACAACAAACTCCAATCACCATCAACGGGAGAAACTTAAAGGAAGTAACCTCCTTCACCTATCTAGGAAGCACTGTTTCAACTACAGGCGGGACAGGCACAGGGACAGGCGAGGATGTCAAAGTCAGAATCGGAAAAGCAAGAAAATATTATAGTCATACATTTGATGAAGATACTGAAATAGAGACTATTAAGAAAAGAAACATTTTCCCACCTTCAATACACACAAAAAAAGATGGCGATCATAGTGTCATTGAATAATTAACTGATGAATTATCTCAGTTCAAAATGAACTCACAATTCCTCTAGAAGTAGTACATTTTTGTAATCTTTTTATAAGATATTCTTCTAATCTACTTGGAATAAAGTCACCTTTAGTATCCAAATATATAATTGAGGATGTTTGACAACTTTGAAGAAGAGAAGCACATACAGATAAGCATAGCTAAAAAGGATAAACCATAAACAAAAAGAAAATCAATGTAGAATCTTGTACATAAATTGCCATACTTCATAGTAGTATACAAAAAAACTCATATCAAAGTAGGATAAGAAAGAATTTTCAAAACTAAATAGATCAAAATATTCAAGCTGTAAAAGGAATCGAATCTGTACTAATGTATTGAATTTTCAGTCATCTCAACGACCCCAGCTAGGTAGTCTACACCTCCTTTTACACGACTCAGGAAATTTATACAAGAGTGTGAAAAGGCTTCACGTGTTTGACCACCGTTGTCTTCGTAGTATAGGCCACCGTATTCCCTGGTGTCACCACACCACGTGAGTAATGCAGAAGTTAGGTGTAGAGTTTAAGGGAGGGAGAAGAGGTAAATCAGTTGACGAGGTTGTGAACCTTCATCGACTGAGATGGTTGGGACACATACTACGTATGCCTAATCACCGATTGCCTCGTCACACAATGTTGGCTGAGGTGGGTCCAGGCTGGAAAAAGGCCCGAGGTGGCCAGACTAGAACATGGCACCAATGTATGAAGTCTCTGACTGTTGGTTTGAGCCATGTAGGACGATGCAGACTAGGTGGTTGGGGTTGGCGGGACAAGAGGAACCAGTGGTTGGAGACAGACCCTAGGTGATATGGCTGGGAACCGAAGTCAGTGGCGCAGATGTATACACACATTATCCTCATCTTAACAACGCTATACCGAATCTCACCATTTTGTCACTCCTCTTTCCTTTCTTCTAGTACTTTATATTTCTTTTGACTGCATTCACTTATCTTTATCCTTCACCTCACTACGTTTCTACTTGATGAACTGACGTGAGGTGTGGCAACTCGGACCGTTATGCAGTAATGCCTGGTCCTATGTTGATAATGATGATCATACAAGAGTGTAATATCTTAGTTTGTCCACTTTGAGTCTCCTTTCAACTTCATCTAACCTCATGGATTAGTGCCACATGTTACTCTGATCACCATCAATCCTCTTCGAATGTAATCCAGTTTCACCTAGCATGGTAGATCAAGGAGGGTGGCAGTTCAGCATGTGAAGCATATATCAAAGCCACTTCAATTGCTGAAAGTTCACAACCCCATTAATCTACTTGTCTGTCTTGTCTAGTACTCTTCGTCTGACCACAACATTGGTTACACAATGATTCTACGTAGCGCAAGCAATGTTACTAAGAAATCTATGGTCAAAACCCTGTACCCGCTTCATATATTCTACCTTCAGTGGCCATGTTTTACTGGTGTATAAAAGAATAGAATGAACTGCAGTACAGTATACTCGTTCTTTGATAGATAGGTAGTTGGATGTCTCGCCAGCCAGCTCCATGGATGATGCAAGAAGAAGAAAGAGAGACATATCGATGTTAGAGAAGATAGACTACCAGATTTCCATAAGGTGTTTTAGTGGTAACGTGTTTTTGTCAAGACATGAAGGTAATCGGCTTCACTGTGTTCATAGAGTTATAGGTACTCATTGTTGAGGAATCTCAGACGATGAGTGAACAAGCGTTCAGTGATCTTCTACTCCATAATAATAATAAATAATTGTCTTCAACGTCCTCAATTCAATCATATTAAGAAAAAAGCCAGGCTGATATTCACCACGGGATGAAATCAGTTGGAGAACGATTGGAAACCTGGGAGTACTGGACAGCTGTCCCATCCTACTATGGGACTCGCCAGTAGTGCCTCATCAGGAATCAAACCCGACTTCCGGGTCCCAGGATCACTACTGGGTCGGGATCCAATGGTCCATATTTCAGTTCACAGCATAGCGCAACGTCCATCCGATATCATTGTCGAGTAACTGTCTTCACATCCGACTTGGTTGACATCACCGGTCAACACTTCTCATTAGAACTTCGAGAATTATCTTTCGAAGCAGGAGATGAAGAAGGTAAACGAAGAGATAGAGTTGAGAAGGGTAAATAATGCTTAAATCGGTCTTATATACTACAGGAAGTGTGTGAGCGATTGACACTTGGATTACATAATGAAGGTAGATTTTCAACTCTCAACTCTCAAAGTTGGAGATACTACTCGTGAGGTATTGGATACTTTGTGCAACTGAACCACGCAGACAAATCGATTACTGGATAGACACGCTTATAAAGCTTTCAGTCCCAAGTCCTAACTCATGATCTAATACCATCGATCAAGTTTATCTGATTTCGATATTTTAGAGAATATCTGGGTTTTCTTATCATTTCAACTCAATGTTAGTAGACGTAAAACCTAGGTCCAAAGACACTGAATGGTTGACCCTTAACACCAAAGTGTTCCATCGCTTCGTTTCCATGATAAATTGTACAACTATCAACAACATGTGATAAGCACTAATCACAGATAGGACGATCTAATAGACATCATCGAGTGATCAAAACTCATATTCACAATCAGTCAGTCAGACTGTAATCAAATGTCATCAGAATAGACAGAAGGATTGTGAGTAAAATAATAACTAAATGCGATATGATGAATAAGATGACAATAGTATGTATGGGCAGCGAGAAGAGGGGGATACACTGGACTGCGGAAAACAACCTACAAGACTTGAATTTCGCCAACGATGACTTGTGCCTGATGTCACATAAACTTGAAGATCTACAGACAAAAACTAACAAGTTGATAGAAGAGGCAGCGAAGACGGGACTGCAGGTGAGTATAGAGAAGACAGAGGTGATGAAGATACCGCACCACCACCACCACCAACAACAACAACAACAAACTCCAATCACCATCAACGGGAGAAACTTAAAGGAAGTAACCTCCTTCACCTACACCTATCTAGGAAGCAGTGTTTCAACTACAGGCGGCACAGGCACAGACGACGATGTCAAAGTCAGAATCAGAAAAGCAAGGCAGGCGTTCATTAGCCTGAAACTAATGTGGAGATCTTCTGCACTCAGCATGCGGAACAAGATACGGATTTTCAACACCAACGTCAAGTCAGTGCTTCTGTATGGTTCAGAGACTTGGCGCGTCACGAAAGACATTTGCAACAAACTACAGACATTCATCAACAACTGCTTACGCTCGCTACTGAAGATCAGATGGCCAGAAAGAATAAGCAACAAGGAGCTCTGGGAACGAACCAACGAAGCAAGAACCTATCACCCAACAAATATGCAGGAGGAAGTGGAGATGGATTGGGCATGCACTGAGAAAGCCGACTGGGGACATCACGCGTCAGGCCAGTCGCTCGAGTGGAATCCCCATGGGAAGCGACGAGTTGGGCGTCCTTGGCGAGGGTGACATGGAGGAGGTCGTGCGAGGAGGAAATGAGAGCTTCTGGGCTGTCGTGGAACCAGGTTCAAAAGATCTCAGAGAACAGAGGTCACTGGAGACGTGCTACTGAAGCCCTATGTTCCACTAGGAACCCAAGGGACTAATAGTAATAATAATAATAATAGTATGTAAAAGAGTTTGAGAAACCGCTGAGATATATTCTCAGTCAGATCACCTAAGCTCTCCAACCACAGATTTCCGTTATCAGAAAGATAGTATTAAGGAAGTCTATATTTCCGTACACAATTGAGACCAGTAGTAAAAGACTTCATGGATAGTCGGTGATTTCATAAATTGATGTGATGTTCCAGTTTGATCGACTTGAGCATTTTTTCTGTCTAAACCTACACCAAGTAACACTTCTTGATAGGACTGACGGTGGATATGCATACGTTACGCATACGCTATCCTTCTGAATCATCATCTATTCTACCTAGATTTCGACGCCAGACTTCTATGACATTAAAATGGTGGTTCCCCACGGCACGTCTTATGCAAGAAAGGCGACGATAGCCAAACATCTGGAAACTTCTGTAAGTTAGTGGGCAATATGATTTTACACTGACACCATAGATGGCTTAATTTGGTTAAGGCTATGCGAGTCTTTTCTGTCTATGCAGAGATTTTGAATGTTACCGACCCGTGTGGGCTAACCCACTTCTAAAGTTAGTGAAGTGGTCAATGCACCGTAACTAATCCCCTTTCTATTGTCAGATAACATATCCACTAGGATCAGACATGAAGTAGCAGTTTACGTAAAAGACTTTACATCTAATCATCGTTCTGATCTTACGTTTGTGTACTCTAGGTCGATTGAGAAGCCTACGGAGGCACGATTGACTCTTTTGAAGCTAGATAACGAGAAACAGGCTACTATAATAAGCACGTCTATGACAGAGTTAGATAAAACCAAAGCGACTAGACATCCTTGATGAACATACTGTTCACTGACAATTTACTCACAGATCAAAGATTCAAACTTAGCTTCGATCTGGATGATGATATTATAGACCATTATTCAAACATGTACGGAGTTATTAGGTTAAATATCCATGTTTCAATCTGGTATATACCACAAAGGATACAACGACACTTCAGATTTAAAGTATTTACACCAGGTATACTATTTTTCCTTAGATGTATCTTTGATCATGAGACACGAAAGTGTTGTATAATAATAATAATAATAATAATAATAATAATAATAATAATTCACTTTCCATTTTAGTCTGTTTATTAGAAATATCACACACAGTGAAGGAACAGTAGTATTTACTGGATAACCACGTTTCGGACATAATTTATTGTCCATATTCATATCAGGCAACTAACTCCACAACTTCGACACAGTCTTTATATATTCCTAATTCTTTCTCTCCTTCCCTGTGATGACAAGGGTAGTAGAATTTTCCATATATCTGGGATAGGTCCACAATCATTTCGATTCCCACGTGTATTTGGTGTTGATTCGATAAACAAAGATTCAATCGGTTATCGATCTCTTCCTCTACCCAACTAAGTTAATTTTCAACACTGCCACCCTATTCCACCCTACTGTGTGATTGTGTGTCATCGTATGCACAGCTATAGCGAAGTTTTTCTCTAGATTTCTTATCTTATTAGGATCTACTAATCTTGACTTAGCTAAGTTTTTGTGCTCTGTTATTCTAATCGACCCTGCCTGGTTGACTGCTTTGACCTATTTACTTGACCTCGCAATCATTGCAAGGGATCTGGTAAACCAGATTATTTTGCTTAATTGCATCGATAGGATCTTTTAACCTACAAAGCTTGTTTCTGAGTTGTTGGTTTGAATGCCACTATGATCCCAGCCAGCCTTATTGAGAATTCTTCGTAGTGCTTCTGAGGTGCCTTCCTTGTATGGCAACACAGAAGAGGCTTTGAATTCTCTCTTAACCCTGTCGCCATTATTACCACCGTTAGTAGTGGGATTATTATTAATAACATCTGTATTACTACTACTACTACTACTACCAGTGCTAATATTTTTCTTTCGATTTCTTATGAATTTACATGGGTAATTATTGAGACGTAGGGTATTCTTGATATGTCCAATTTCTTGTCGCAGATTTTCCAATCCACTAGTAAGCTTTTTCGCTCGATCACCTAAGCATTTAACTAGGCCTACTTTAACTGAAATGGGCTGGGAGAATTCAAAGTCTAAGTAGCCATTCGAATGGGTAGATTTCCTATAGACACTAGTCTTTAGATTTCTTTCTTGTGTTCGTTTAATCTTACAATCGAATATTGCTAGCTCACCTTCACTTTCTAAGTCACAGATGAATTGGATTACAGTCACTACTGAATTTATATTGTGCCAAGAACCCCTTTGATGTGTTCCGATTTCACTACTGTAAACGTATCATCTACATATCGAAACCATATTTGTGAAGTAGGACTAAATGTTTGAAGCACTACCTGTTCCCAATTATCCATAAATATGTCTGCGATGATAGGGGATATTGGTGATCCCATGGCAACACCTTCAGTTTGTTGATATAGTGATTTCTTTTCTAACACTTCTTCCCTTACATAATATGCGTGCTAGGTAAGGTACATTCGAATTCTTATACTTAGCTGTACGAGCATACAATCTTATTTAGTTTCTTCTTGTCCTCCTCCCTGAGACGATATTCAAGAAGAGAGAACTATGAATGAAGTGAATGCTCTATATCACTTAAAATTACTGTAGCTAGTTCCTTGCTAGAATTTAAATGTCTATCAGTATTAATCAGTTGGACCACAGGCATACATTATCAGTTATTGGATTGAAACTTACCAATCAGATGGAAGGGTGTATATTACACTGTAATGAAAACATTGACAAAATACAGGGTCTTCTGAACGCTTCCAATAGAAATCTGAACATTTCCAGTGTGTATTGTACACTTGCCAGATGTAAGATGATACTTCAGAAGTGGTCTCCAATTATTCCTAGTTTAAGGATAGAAAGTGGAGTGGTGCATGGAATATATCGACCACTTCACTTACTTAGAGATTTGAATCAGTTTAGATGAGCTAGCTGCTGATGAAATAGCTGGAATACAGAAGATTCATTTGGCATTCACTAACTTTCATCATCTCTGTTATGGACTGGTAAGATGTCCGAATATCTGTCAGTTGACCAGGATATAATTTGTCTACTATGATATGTATTTTTCTGTCCATTTGTTCTTTCCATACAGCTGCGAGGTATGGCAACTTTTATGTGAGATTCTAGGTTGATTTTGTCTATATGGCTAACTATACCTTGAAAGGTTAAAGTAATCCAAACTCTTAACTCATTGAATGAAATTAGGATGCTTTATCCAACGAGGAATATACCCACCCCATTTAGGTTCTCTTAAAAAATTCAGTAGGTAAGAAGAAACAGTTATCTCTACCCACTTCATTCTCAGTCTAGCTCAAATCAATTTTTTTCCTTTTTACAACAACAAACTATGTTATACTATAAAGTCGATAAGTTTAACCGACTTCAGTGGCGATATAAGTAAACCGTCTTCTAATGTTAACAGTAGGTATTTGTCATTATTCCATTGACTATGTTGCAAAACAACAAAAATTGAATTGTGTAAAATAGGAAACATTGCATCCCTGTTGATAGATGTTAGTTGGATGAAAGTAATCGGTAGGAAGCTCTGGACCTCCTTTTTGGCATCCGTCAACCGCGACGGAACTGATGTTCTGCGTGAGGTCCTAACTCATATCATTCAGTGTTGGAGTCAGTTACGTCACTACTGATCTATTCGGGTCATGACTGACCCTCCTATAGGACTGGATGAGATACATTCATTGGTCTCTGGTGGGTAACCAATTTCATGTTGTCTAGACCTAAGTGCTGATCGAATTCTGTCAATCATTTTACAATATGGCCACCAGATTAGGCAGTTCAGCATCACGATGGAGTTCGATAGATGTTAGTTGGATGCAGGTAATCGGCAGGAAGCTCTGGGGTCTAAGTTGCATCCTTGTTGGCACTCGTCAGCAACACGTATCTGCAATCTCGATAGATACCTTACAAAAAATCGATAGAATCCGTTAAGTCAAACTTCATGGAATCAATCCATACGTTCAGCCACAAACACGAAGACAGATGATACTAAGAAAGATAATCAATATAGAAACAACTTACTTGAGTTTTACAAGTAGAAGATTTTCCAATCACTTCTGTTATTTCACCAGTTCTTAAACCTTCACCACCGAGTAGATTATCTAAGCTGCGTTTTTAGAAGGAGAAAACAAAATGAAAACTAAGAAAGAATCAATGATTATTAGGGAACAATGATTTATAATGATGGATGAAGATGAATGAAAATATTTGTAAAACATTATAAGTAAATCATCAACTAGTTCATCATAGTTTACTTCATTGATACTATAAGAGCAGGATAAATATGCATAGGACAACTCCATGAACATATTGACCATTTGTCTAACCTATACTAGTAGGTTAGCAATTTTGCAGACGTATATGCGATAGACTAACCTCGCCTGGTTAACTAGTTCATTAGTTGATGAGCTGGTCCTAAGCCCGGTAAAGAGGGAACCTTGGGCTGGGCATACATACGCCTAGCAACCCTACCCCACAAAATCAATCCAACCACCAAACAGACTTCAAAACACACACAAAATACAAAAAATAAAAACAAACTTATTCCTCGCTGGAATCCGACAGACGAAATAACGCCAGTTGCTCAAAGCCTTCGGGAAGCCAGTCGACCGATATGTCTTTTCTCGATGAAAGAGAAAGTAAACATGGGGACATGGAATGTCCGCATCATGTATGAACCTACTAAGGCTTCCCAGATCGCAAAGGAGATGAGAAGGCATCGCACTGAAGTGCTAGAAATCTGTAAAAGCAGGTGGGATGGAAGTGGACTTTCCGAACTGTCAACCGGAGAGTCAATAATCTACTCCGATATTGTCACCAAGACGACAAACACAAGCACACTGAGTTTTTCGAGTGGCTATCATGATGTCCCCTTCAAGAGCACCGAAGGCTCTCATGCGGTGGGAACTAATCTCCTCCAGGATCACAAAAGCAAAGTTAAAATCAAAAGGACGGAAAGTCTTAATCGTACAATGCTACGCACCTACATATAATGTAGAGCAAGAGAAGTAGGAGGAATTCTATAGACAACTGCAATCAGTACTAGACAAGGCTCTAGCCCAGTTGGCGACATCAAAATCCTAATAGGTGGGGTGACATGAATGCCAAACTCTGAGCGGACAACACAGGTAGAGAACTAACCATAGGTCGGGAAGCGCTAGGTGAAATGAACGAGAATGGAGAATTGTTTGCAGACTTCTGTGCATCCAACGATTTGGTGATTGAAGGCACTGTGTACAAGCACAAGGATATTTCACCAGACACCAGGACACATTAAACATCATATAGACTTCATCTCAATATGCAGAAAGTTGAGACGCAGCCAGCCTACTTGACACAAGGTCAAAAGAGGAGCAGATGTAGGTTCACACCACTCACTATCTAGTGCAAGGAACCTTCCAAATCAAGTTAAAAGCCTTCAAGGAAGCTGGTGATAAACGACTAGAGTTCAAGTACAACACTCGGAAACTGAAGGATGAAACTACAAAGCAAAATCTTCACGTCAGCCATCAAGACAAAATGGAAGACATCGAGCAACATCCCTGAAGAAACCTGTGTAGAAGAACACTGGAAGTCTTTGAAAGCTATGTGGAAAGAAAACTGCATAACCGTATTAGGAAGCAAGAAGAAAGAAGATAAGGAATAGATCTCGACAGATACCTAGGAGCTGATAGAGGAGAGGAGGATGGTGAAGCAGAAGATAAACCAGTGCAAGGATGCTCAACGACAATAGGAACTGAGCACAATGTATAAAACACTGAACAAAGAAGTGAAGAAGAGTGCACGGATAGACAAAAGACACTTCTACGAAACACTGGCAAGTGAAGCAGAACAGGCTGCAGGTAAGAGAGACCTGACGACATTGTATCAAATAACCAGGTTGCTATCAGGGAAGAGATCAACGCAGACGAAACCAATAAAAGATGATGACGGAAATCTAATTAAGAAAGAAGAGAAACAAAGGAAACAATGGGCCGGCCACTTCAAGAAGGTCTTGAGTCGACCACCATCTGCACTTCGTCCAGAAATATCACCTGCAGCCCAGCCACAGAACTACAAGTGAACACAAAACCTCCAACAAAAGTGGAAGTCCTGAACGCCATAAAGCTACTAAAATGCGGGAAAGCAGCAGGACCAGATGGAATCCCACCAGGAGCGCTGAAAACAGACGCAGAGACAACAGCGGACATGCTCACACCACTATTGGAGAAGGTGTGGAAGGAAGAGAAGGTACCTGGCCATTGATTGGAAGAAGGGTTACCTTGTCAAACTCCCGGAGAAGGGAGACCTCAGTGTTTGCAAGAACTGGTGCGGAATCACTCTCCTGTCCACTCAAAGCAAGCAAAATAGTAAGCCGCATCATCTTGGAGAGGCTTAAGGATGCACTGGATTCAAAACTACGACCGGAGCAGACAGGCTGGCTTCAGGAAGTACAAATCATGTGCGGACCAAATTGCAACGCTACACTACACATCAACACAGAACAAAGTATACAATGGCAGTCAACTCAACTCTACCTCAACTTCAACCCTTTGACAGCATCCACCGACAACTAATTCGGCAGGCAGTTGCATCAACTCTACGGAATACCACAAACCTTTATCAGTCTCATTCAACAACGATATGAAGAAGCCACATACCAAATAATTCACAATCGGAAGCTCAGTAATGCCTTCCAAGTGAAATCAAGTGAAGTGAAGACAGGAGTGAAACAAGGTTGCCACCTACTATCACCCATGATCTCCCTAATTGTCTTGTGGTCGACTCCACTGGACCATGCAACAAACAGTGAGAAGCTGTGAGAGGAGGGGAACACGGTGGCTGGACCGCAGAAAACAACCTACAAGACTTGGATTTCGCCAACAATGACTTGTGTCTCATGTCGCACAAAATTGAACATCTACAGGCGAAAACTAACAAGTTGACAAGAGAAGCAGGCGGCACAGGCACAGACGAGGACATCAAAGCCAGACAGCCAGCATCGGAAACACTGCAAGACAGGTGTTCATTAGCCTGAGACCAGTGTGGAGATCTTCTGCACTCAGCACTCAGCATGTGAAACAACATCCGGATTTTCAACACCAACCTAGTCAAGTCAGTGCTCCTGTATGACTCAGAGGCTTGTTGCGTTACAAAAGGCATTTCCAACAAACTACAGACATTCATCAACAACTGCCCCCTACGCTGGCTCCTTACTTACTGAAGCTCAATTCAGCTGGACAGAAAGAATAAGCAACAAGGAACTCTAGCTGGCCGGTGGCTGGCTAGCTGGCAACGAACCAACGAAGCAAGAAGCTATCGCTGAACAAATATGCAGTGGAAGGAAGTGGAGATGGATTGTATTGGGCATACACTGAGAAAGCCGACTGGGATATCACGCATCAGGCCAGTTGCTCCAGTGGAACCCAGATGGTGAGCGATGAGTTGGGCGTCGCAGCTGGTGGTGACATGGAGGAGATGGTGAGAGGAGGGAATGAGAGGTTGTGGGCTGTCGTGGAACCAGGTTAAGAAGATTTCAGAGAACAGAAAGCATTGGACACGTGTTCCATTAGGAACCCAAGGGACAAATAATAATATATTCATCACGTATACTGCACAAGTTAATCAAGGATAAATTATTAACACGACATTGAGATGATAATGAAATAAACGAGACATTGTTTTGATCAAGTAGTAGTTGTTGTTGTATAACAGCGAATAAAGTTATTGCTTTTTCTATCGAAGATGTGATTTTCTCATGCTGTAACATCCTATTCTGTTGGTATAGGTAAAGACCGAATTTCAACCAATGACCACCTGGTTTCTAGACTGATGATGTAACAACTTAGCTACAAAGTTCGACTGTTGACAAGTTTTTTTTATCATTTAAGTCCACTTCAATAACAGTCTACTATTTTTCAAACAGTCATATAATTACTAAAGTGTTTACCAATAGGATTGAAAGTTGTTTTGTTTTTTCTTAAGAATACAAAGGAACTATTACTCTGACCATGGTTAACGCTAATCGAAATTCATATATAAGATATTGAGAAAACGAATTATGATGTGAAATTGATCGTTAAGTGGATAAACAGTTAACCTTCTGAACATAGCCTCAATATCTGTATTTTTGTCATAAATAATCAAGATATATTATATATTTATCAATTATACAGGTAGAAATTATTATTCATAAAACGGGGACAATTTTCTAGGTTCATCAGAATGCAATCGGTTATCTCAACAACTGGTTAAGTTATGACCATGATATAAGTCTATCATTTTGTCTATTCATATACATTTGTACAGCTTTAGAAAAGGTAGGTCGATGAAGTAAAAAATTATTTCTTCAATGAATTATATCTTTCATTCATTTTCTTATAGGGTATTTATTTCACTGATATTTCGGTGATATCCTATAGAATTTCAGGCTAGAAGACGAAGATTATCTGAAGTAATGGGATGTGTATTTTGCGCAATACATTTCGAATAGTCTGATCCCCCGTGTAAATAGTGAATAAGTGAATAAGGTTATGACACTAGTCTTGCTAATATAATCAGATAAGGACTATCAAGATAAATTAAGTGAAACAATAAACGCGTTCGCCGTGAAACCTGAAGGTCCTGAGTTCGATCCCTAGCCCGGTCGTGGGTGCGTACTGCTGAGGAGTCCCATACTAGGTGGACGAAACAGATGTCCAGTGCTCCCAGATTTTCAATGGTTCCCTAACTGATGTCAGTCCATGATGAATACTACTTCTAAACAATAAATTGTTTTTGTACGTACAGTGGGGGATTAAGTTTATGAGAATAGCTAACGCTTCGGCAAACTTTAATATACACTCCTGATTTTTCCTGTATAATATCTTAAAGGCTGTTTTCGTATTAACCCTTGTGATTCATTTCAATGAAGATGTTTTTCTATAGATGTCTGTCACCTCCATTTATCAAAGTTTGTGTGTTAAACTGTTTTTCTAGCCAATTTGGGTATATGTTCACCCACCCACCCTAGTCTGCATTGAACGATTACTCCCCCTATGTATGTAAATGCCCACTCATACATGTAAATTGGTAAACACAGTAGGATGTGATGTAATCATTTGTGCGAGGCTGAGGTTTGTGGTAATCCATATCTGATTTTATTAGCAAGACTAGTGTCACAACCTTTTCACTTATTCACCTTTAATTTTCATCTATAAATTGACTTGACAAGTAAATATATACATGGGGAATCAGATTGTTCGAAAGGTATTGCGAAAATACACTTCCCATTACTTCACATAATCTTCATCTTCTAATAGCGTTATCGAAATTTACTAAAGGGACATAATGCTTAATTGATTTACCATTTTCAACAATATATTTCCCCCAACCCCTTTTGAGTTATAGACTTTCATATACAATCCTACATGCGTGCAAACACACACAATCATGCGTATAAACATATATAGCTGCATTTGTGCATTCATGTACTTAGACACACATACACTCAGGCCTTCACTGATACGTATGCATACATAAGCACATACATAATTGCATTCATACCAACAAACCACGTGATGACAAACAGTTATACACACGCACATATTATTATTATTATTAGTCCCTTGGGTTCCTAATGGGACATACAGCTCCACTAGCACATCTCCAGTGAACTCTCTTCTCTGAAATCTTTTCAACCTGGCTCCACGACAGCCCACAACCTCTCATGATCTCCTCCATGTCACCATCAGCTGCGACGTCCAACTCATCGCTTCCCATCTGGGTTCCACTCGAGCGACTCGCCTGACGCGTGATATCCCCAGTCGGCCTTCTCAGTGTATGCCCAATACAATCCATCTCCACTTCCTTCCACTGCATATTTGTTCAGCGATAGCTTCTTGCTTCGTTGGTTCGTTGCCAGCTAGCCAGCCACCAGGCCAGCTAGAGTTCCTTGTTGCTTATTCTTTCTGTCCAGCTGAATTGAGCTTCAGTAAGTAAGGAGCCAGCGTAGGGGGCAGTTGTTGATAAATGTCTATAGTTTGTTGGATATCCCTTTCGTAACGCATACTTGATTAGATATACCGTTAAGCAATGGAAAAGAGCATACATACATACATACACACATATACAACGTAGACTGAGACAAATTTAGGTGTAACAACATAGAAGTGAATAGTTTTTACAGGTTAAATGGTAATCCAGAGGGATGGAAATGGATATTCAAGATTGTTGACATAGGGATGAGCACTGAGTCGATTGAGCGTCGATTACGTCATCGAAAACAAGATAGTTAATGGTAATACTTATGCAGATAAGAAGAAAACAAGGTGTATATTGAGATGAATAATAATGATAACATTGGTAATAGGAATAAGGTTAATTAGACGGAGTAAATCAGGGAAGGAAAACAAAATATGAGATGAGTGATAATTACTAGTGAAGAGTAAATTAAGAAAGATTAAATATGATCAGAGACAATGTTGTAATTATTACCATGGCAGATTCAGACTGACAACCATTTCCTTCTGAATGCAAAGGTTTGGTTTGACAACTCGAATCGTGCAGGCTTCTACATATCCAATCAACTTATTTCGCTGTCTACTAGTGATAACCTTAAAGGACTTATAGGTATCAATATCATGTCCATAGTGCATTAGATGCTTCGTTATCGAGCTCCTCGGGGTCTTTTTTTCGGCATCCTTCAACCATTTAGGTATGTGGTCAACCATTCGGATGGACAGACGCCTCTCCGTACGACCAATGTATTTGCTTCCGCAGGTACATTCGAATTGATATATGCATTTAGATGTGTCGAGGATTGGAGTACCATCTTTCCCTGATTGCTGCAATACCCTTTTGGTGGTGCTAAGAAGAACCAGTTTAGCTGCGTACTAAGTCCTTCTGATAAACTTCTCCAGTCTTCGTCTAACTACCTCTAGCACGTCGTCACCTTTGAATGGCAAGGTGATATAGGCCGGTTTCTTCTGCACTGTTGGGGCCGTTGTTCTGCTCCCTACCCGCTTTGCGTGCTTGTTGAAAAAGCTTCCTGGGTACCCATTCTTCAGTAGCACGCTTTTCAAAGTCCGTATTTCGTAGTCTAGTGTGCTGTTGGAACGAATTTTCCTGCATCTGTTACACAGCATTCTAACTACATCGACTTTGTATTGGATCGGAACAAAGCTCCTAAAATGAAGGTATTGTCCTGTCCAAGAAGGTTTCCTATAGATGGACCTTTATATAGATCCATCGATTCTTTTCACTAATGAGACATCTAAGAAACTAATCATATTATTTTCCTCGTCCTCAATCGTAAAAGTCAGGTTTGGGTGACATGAATTGAAGCTCTTCAGCAGTGCTTCTGCCTCCGCTTTACTATTGCATACAATGAATATATTGTCCATATGGCGCTGATGTAGTTCCGTCTGACCAATGAGGCGCTTCAAGCTACTATTTTCCAGACTGGATAGAAATAAATCATCCGAAAAGAGGACCCAGAGGGCTTTCCATTGCGACTCCGTCGGTTTGGCGGAATAACTGTCCGTTGAACTGGAACTGGATATTCTTGGTGCATAGATTTAGAAGCTTTCTCAACTCACTTGTTGAGATAGGGATATTACCAGCTTCTCGACAGATAAACTCAATGGTTTCATTAACTGGTACATTTGTGAAGAGAGATACAACATCAAATGAAATAAGATGCTTATCAGTAGACAGCAAAATAAGAAGTTGATTGGATATGTAGAAGCCTGCACGATTCGAGTTGTCAAACCAAACCTTTGCATTCAGAAGGAAATGGTTGTCAGTCTGAATCTGCCATGGTAATAATTACAACATTGTCTCTGATCATATTTAATCTTTCTTAATTTACTCTTCACTAGTAATTATCACTCATCTCATATTTTGTTTTCCTTCCCTGATTTCTTTCGTCTAATTAACCTTATTCCTATTACCAATGTTATCATTATTATTCATCTCAATATACACCTTGTTTTCTTCTTATCTGCATAAGTAGTACCATTAACTATCTTGTTTTCGATGACGTAATCGACGCTCAATCGACTCAGTGCTCATCCCTATGTCAACAATCTTGAATATCCATTTCCATCCCTCTGGATTACCATTTAACCTGTAAAACTATTCACTTCTATGTTGTTACACCTAAATTTGTCTCAGTCTACGTTGTATATGTGTGTATGTATGTATGTATGCTCTTTTCCATTGCTTAACGGTATATCTAATCAAGTATGCGTTACGAAAGGGATATCCAACAAACTATAGACATTTATCAACAACTGCCCCCTACGCTGGCTCCTTACTTACTGAAGCTCAATTCAGCTGGACAGAAAGAATAAGCAACAAGGAACTCTAGCTGGCCTGGTGGCTGGCTAGCTGGCAACGAACCAACGAAGCAAGAAGCTATCGCTGAACAAATATGCAGTGGAAGGAAGTGGAGATGGATTGTATTGGGCATACACTGAGAAGGCCGACTGGGGATATCACGCGTCAGGCGAGTCGCTCGAGTGGAACCCAGATGGGAAGCGATGAGTTGGACGTCGCAGCTGATGGTGACATGGAGGAGATCGTGAGAGGTTGTGGGCTGTCGTGGAGCCAGGTTGAAAAGATTTCAGAGAAGAGAGTTCACTGGAGATGTGCTAGTGGAGCTGTATGTCCCATTAGGAACCCAAGGGACTAATAATAATGTAGAGCATCCAGCTGACGAGTACTACTGAAGTCATAAAAACCCTCCTTTTTTTCACACTCGTTGCTTGTTTTAAATATTTTGTCAGATAAATTTTATCATAATTTAAGAATTTAATACGGTGAGTAGCTTTTTAAGAAAGAGTATATGAATATTTCATTGCAATATCACTTGTGATATCCGTCATATGTAAAACTTATTCATATCATTGTCTATTATGTCACCAATCGTCACATCAGTAGACACTTTCTTTATCAGGAGAAATACAATGTTAAGTTGTGTTTCATAGGTATTCGATAGAGATGATGTCAATTAAATTTTGAGGGAGTTGTGGAGATTTGGAATTATTTCAAGTTGTTATTCATCACAGACTGACATCAGTTGGAAGAACAAAGGAAACCTGGCAGCACTCGACAGCTGTTCCGTCCGACTGGTATGGGACTCCTTAGCAGTGCGCACCCACGACCCCACATCAGCAGGGATCGAACCCGCGACCTTCAGGTTCCGCAGCCAGCGCGTTACCATTGAGCTAGCCACTGGGTCAGAATCCAATGCTCCATATTTCCAACTTCTGTTAGCTCACGATATATAGCGCAACCGCCACCCAATGTCATCACTAAGTATCTGTCCTCATAGCCATCAGGCTTTGAGATGATGTCAACATGGGATGTGGTATTACTGTGTAGCGATTAAAGTTGTCATATTTCATATTACAACATCACCATATTATACTGTAAGTGAAAGTTTGTTCACAAGGTTTACAGTAAGAAACACAATAAGATAACTAACCTTACAATTCCAGTAGAAAAGTATTGTGAATTCATTGACTGTTCAAGTAATATATCTGTACATGTTAGTGATTTAGGACACCAATAAGTTGTAAGTAAACGCCGAAACGAAGTACACTCCTTTGATATATAGTAAAATTATTATTCAGAAGAAAATTAATGATTTTAAGGAATCTGAAATATCTCAGTGAAGTATTATTTCAAGAGATTATGAAAAGAAGCATGAAATAATCGAGTAATATCCGCTAATCTATCCATTACTTTAAACAGGTTAATGAGAAGACGAAGATACAGTACGAGAACAATACTCAGACTCACCAGTTGTTGAGGTACCGTTTGTGTTACAATTACGTAATACCTAACCAGCTTTACTTACCTCGATGTACTCTAGTAACTGCCTAATCAGTACCTTACCTTACCTAACGTCTAAGCACTGATAACAAAACACAAATCAAAAAGACTGCCATTCAGGAATATATTCAAAGTAGAAACATATTTAAATAGAATAAATGTGAGTGACTATGAGGGGGGAAGGTTTGTCCAATTATCTGGCTAGTATGGTAGAACTATGGACTCTGAAGTTGTACGTGTTAGCTAGCATAAAGGGAACACAAAATGGCCTCGAATCCTGCTGGTTAAAACAAAACTTACAACATCTTAAGCATCCAGAGGCAGGCAAGAAGTTTACTTAGTTTATTCCATCTATTTTAGTCCTAGTTGCATTTTGGTAACACGAAGGTGCATTAAAAGCGCATCAAATCATATTAAAACCATGGTGAATACATAATCCTGCAAAACAGAATACGTAGATTAACCACACGTACTACCTGATGACTAGCAAAAGACGATAAACATTTTAAAGCAACTGGTCCATTTGATAAATTTAAACAGCGTAATGAGAAGACGAAGATTATCTGAAACATGTAGTGATGTATTAGCGCTATACATTTCGAACAATCTGATACCCCACACATGGACTTGTCGAACTATTTATATGAAAATTTACGGAAAAGGTCAATGAAGTTAATAGGAAACATCAGAGGAATAGGAAGGGATAGAAAAACTTTACTCTTGGTATGAAAATTAAAATCAATACTACCAAGGTAGGTTCAACGTGAGTACGAATTGTTTTGTATACATATTATTATTATTATATTATTAGTCCCTTGGGTTCCTAGTGGAACATAGGGCTTCAGTAGCACGTCTCCAGTGACCTCTGTTCTCTGAGATCTTTTCAACCTGGTTCCACCACAGCCCACAAGGTCTCATTTCTTCCTCGCATGACCTCCTCCATGTCACCCTCACCAAGGACGCCCAACTCGTCGCTTCCCATGGGGATTCCACTCGAGCGACTCGCCTGACGCGTGATGTCCTCAGTGGGCCTTCTCAGTGCATGCCCAATCCATCTCCACTTCCTGCTGCATATTTGTTGCGTGATAGGTTCTTGCTTCATTCCCAGAGCTCCTTGTTGCTTATTCTTTCTGGCCATCTGATCTTCAGTATACATAAATGGGGTTTAAATTTACGGATGGCAAGAGCTTCAATAAATTTAATTACTCGGCTCTGACCACTTTCATGTAGTACTTTAAAGGCTGTTTCCTTTCATGTCTATCCTATGGTTAGTTTCTAGTATATGTTTAGCGATAGACGAAGATGGATATCTGTCACTATTAATGATTGTAAAGTTTAAATACCATTCTGATGAAGTGTTTCAACCTCGATCTATGAAATATTTTCCAAGGAATAGACTGTATTGAATCATTGAACCAGGCAATCGGTTTTCAAACAGTAGAGTACCAGTTCAAATCCAGATCCAAATCAGTAGTATAATGCTTAAGATAATATACACCGACTTCTATATGAATAATAAGAAAGTTAATCAACCAATCACCTCACAGGAAAACTGTGATTCATTTGACTACTAAGTTGATTTTCAAGTAGTGGGTTGTGAATTTCAACTCCATCTAACCGACAGGAGGTTAAGCATTGAACAAGTGATATAGTTCACTGGCTAATTAAATTCTTTCAATCAGTTTTTAAAAAAAATAATATGCTGATTGCCTTAAATCAATAGAATATTTCAAAGGTGTGCCAAATAATCTGGTTTTTCATGTTCCAAATTAGGGCATACATGAATAGCAATCACCTACCTGTATTAGAAACTATAGGATTGAAAACTTTTGGTCACTAACCAGCCAATATGTTTATCGACTGAATAACAGTCTGAATGTATAGAAGAAGTCAGGATAGTTAACGTCACTCACAACAACAACAACAACAAGTCTCAGTAACACATTTTGATATTTAGTCAACAGTAACTTCAATGCCTATCGATAGGTTTACCTGGTTCTAGACCAGGTACACTGAGATCTTCAACCAAAATAATCGAGTTTCATTGCTGATTATCATCTCAGCGATTAAAACGTTGTACCGACAAGGTTTCCGTTAGAAACCATTCAGTTTAAACAACTTACAAGTATATTATTGTTTAGTCTTCATTGGTGATATGCTTCAATACTAGACTTCCCGAAAATTCTAATCAGAAGTTCTCATTACTGGAACATCATCATCATCATCATGATCAACATAGGACCAGGCATTACTGAGTAACAGTCCGAGTTGCCACACCTCATATCAGCACATCAAGTAAAAAGGTAGTGAGGCGAAGGATGAAGATAAATGAATGCAGTCAAAAGAAATATAAAGTATGAGAAGAAAGGAAAGAGGAGTGACAAAATGGTGAGATTCGGTATAGCGTTGTTAGGATGAGGATAATGTGTGTATACATCTGCGCCACTGACTTCGGTTCTCACCCATATCACTAGGGTCTCCAACAGGCACTGGTTCCTCTTATCCAGTGGACCCCAACCACCTACTCTGCATCACCCCACATGGCTTAAACCAATAGTCAGAGACTTCATGCATTGGTACCATGTTTTAGTCTGGCCACCTCGGGCCCTTTTCCAGTCTGAACCTACTTCGGCCAACAATGTATGTGACGAGGCAATCGGTGACTAAGCATACGTAGTACGTGTCCCAACCATCTCAGTCGATGAAGGTTCACAACCTCGTCAACTGACTTACCTCTTCTCCCCAAAACTCTACACCTGACTTCTGCATTACTCACGAGGTGACACCACGGAATACGTCCTATACTACGAAGGTAACGGTGGTCAAACACCTGAAGCCTTTTTATATCTTCCACTTTCAATGGCCATGTTTCACAGCCATACAGTAGAACAGACCGGACTGTTGTGCAGTACACGCGACCCTTAATAGACAAACGAATATCACGGCGGCACCATAGGTGGCGCAAATTGGCAAAAGCCAATCGAGCCTTTTGTATCCGTGCCGAAATCTCATCGGCAACTAACCCACCGGGGTTGATCCTACTTCCCAGGTAAGTGAAGTGGTCAACACACTCAACCACTTCACTCTCTATTGTTCATTACTGGAACGAACTGTGTCAAACGCAAGGTCAGACACTAAACGATAGGATTTAATGAAAGTCACACGGTTTCATAAATTGATAAAATAGAATATGCACGACTGGTTATCGACATGCTCGACATGAAATCTGAAAGTCTTCGATTGAATCCATAACGATGCACACTATTGATATGTCCTATATCATGACGAAACAGCTTTCCACTGCTCTCAAATTCTCAATGGTCCTACAAATGATATCACTTCATAATGAATACTACCTTGAAAAATATTTTTATTTCTTGTAAACTAACAACGGTTAACTCACTTTTGTATCAGTCCAATTTTTAATCAAATTGATATCAGTCAACTTTGATGAATCATTACGATGCTGGTGTTGACACAGAGTTGAAAACTTATTTTGTTCTGCATTACTGTTGTTGTTAGTATTACTACTTACAGTAGTATCAGTATTGTTTATACAACTACTATAGGCTGAAAAATTGTCCTGATTTACTGGATTTACATTAGATAACAGTAATAAAGGCAATAATGGTTGATCAATGTAATAGGATTTATGTAACCGATGAATATTAGAAGCGATCACTTCAATTGATTCTTGATCTGTCATGTCAGTCAGCATTTGGTAGGTTGGGTTAACTAACTATGCAACTGAAAGACAAAAAAAAAGACAGGCAAAGATACAAACTTAATATCAATTGACAACTGAAAAACTCTACGGAATACCACAAACCTTCATCAGTCTCATTCAACAACGATATGAAGACACCACATACCAAGTAATTCACAATCGGAAGCTCAGTAATGCCTTCCAAGTGAAGTCAAGTGAAGTGAAGACAGGAGTGAAACTAGGTTGCCACCTACTATCACCCATGATCTCCCTAATTGTCTTGTGGTCGACTCCACTGGATCATACAACAAACAGTGAGCCGGTGTGAGAAGATGGGGTGGGGATACGTTGGCTGTACCGCTGAAAACAACCTACAAGACTTGGATTCCGCCAACGATGACTTGTGTCTCATGTCGCACAAACTTCAAGATGTACAGGCGAAAACTAACAACTCGATAGAAGAGGCAGGCAGGACAGGGCAGCGAAGGAAGACGCGACTTCCAATGAATATAGAGAAGACAGAGGTGATGAAGACACCCAACCAACAACAACACCAACAACAACAACCAACTCCAATCACCATCAACTGGAGAAACTTAAAGGAAGTAGCCTCCTTCACCTACACCTATCTAGGCAGCACTCTTTCAACGACAGGCGGCAGCACAGGCACAGACGAGGACGTCAAAGCCAGACAGCCAGCCAGCCAGCATCGGAAACACTGCAAGACAGGCGTTCATTAGCCTTAGACCAGTGTGGAGATCTTCTGCACTCAGCGCGAACAACATCCAGATTTTCAACACCAACCTAGTCAAGTCACTGCTCTTGTATGACTCAGAGACTTGGCGAGTTACGAAAGGCATTTCCAACAAACTACACACATTCATCAACAACTGCCCCCTACGCTCACTCATTACTTACTGAAGCTCAACTCAGATGGTCAGAAATAATAAGCAACAAGGAACTCTGGCTGGCTGGCTAGCTGGCAACGAAGCAAGAAGCTGTCGCTGAACAAATATGCAGTGGAATGAAGGGGAGATGGATTGTATTGGGCATACACTGAGAAGGCCGACTAGGGATATCACGCATCAGGCGAGTCGCTCGAGTGGAACCCAGATGGGAAGCGATGAGTTGGACGTCGCAGCTGATGGTGACATGGAGGAGATCGTGAGAGGAGGAAATGAGAGGTTGTGGGCTGACGTGGAGCCAGTTGAAAGATTTGAGAGTAGAGAGTTCACTGGAGATGTTCTACTGAAGCTGTATGTTCCATTAGGAACCCAAGGGACAAATAATAAATAGTAATAATCCTGGACGTTTCTTTGTGAAAAGAGCAATGAGTAAACTTAAGAGTATCAACTTGTTTTCTTGGCAATGAAAATTGCTTAGTTTTCATTTTATAAGCGGTAAACACTCTAACTGATTAAATTTAGTGAAAAATGATAACTACACAATAGTGAACTTCGGTGTTGGAATAAATTTTAGCTTTGATGAGTATCATATACTCGCTTTTTGAGATATCTTCAACAAGAATGTAATTAGTGTCAAAAGCTTCTATTATCAATGATCTACAGTCACTTAAAGTCATATTATCCATGGAGAAAGGGGGCTGAATATAAATGCAACTATCACGTTCTATTCTTCATTGAGCTTCAGATTACAAGAAACATGAAAAACTATCATGTATTAGAATTAGGCTTAGATTCAATTATACTGACAGTACGCATTAAAACTGAATTATAAGTCTAAACCTGGTTTCCCGCAAAATAGATTAAGCGAATCGAAATTGAAATGCACTTAGGAACCATATACATGTTCATGCAGTAGGTAATGAGTCAAACTAATACTACTATCTGGTGGCCCAAACCTTAGTAGACAGAATGAAGTTCGAACCCCTGATCCTATTGGTTGGAAGTCAACTGGTTAAGCCAATTATCGACAGTTACATAGTTTGACCAACTATATAGTACTATTAGCTTCACACTATACATGTGGCTCATTATCTAGTGAATAAACATACAGGTGGTTGCTGAGAGTTCTATGTAAACGGAAGTGACTTCAGTACACAAAAGGTGCCTACAGATCTAACAGCATAAATGTTGAGTAACTGCTTTTTGATGATTATCAAAAGTGTGTCTACAGGTACATACCAATAGATTGTAAAACAACTACAGTCTCAGCTAGCTAAAAGTTGATATCATCGTTAGCTTAAACTGAGTATATCCAAAGAAAAGCCACTCTTTGTCAACACTATCACATAGGTAAGCTTAAATACTTGTTGATTACCAGTAGACATTAGTGTTCAGTTATTTTAGACATTAAGACATAAAAAATCACACTCGAACACTGAATACACTAGCAGTTCCAATACCTAGTGACCTAGGATTGTCAACATTCAGTTAGTCGTCTATGGCAATTGATTCACTGACTGATTTCAAAGTAGTATTCATCAAGGATTGAAAATCTAGGAACACTGGACAACAGCTGTTTTGTCCCAGCTTAAGATTTCTCAACAATGCGCACCGACAACCAAGACTTCTAATCATATAAGTAAGATTTAAAACGATTTTTATTTATAACCAGTTTATTAGCTAGTTTTGCTGGTATCAATGCTTTTACATAAATATTGATAAACTGTTAGGTTTTTGAGATTGAAAACATTCTTCACTTTCTCATCTTCGAAGTGAACAATTTCTCAATAGGACAACTTCAAAACTCAATCAAACAAGGATTATCCACCTCATAGTTCGTTAATTTTATGTATTACATAATGTTAATGTATTGTTTGCTGGATGGTGTTTAGAGTAAATCATACTTTTTCACTGTGTGACATATATATGAATCATCAGAGAACTACAACGGTATTATACTCTACAGAAGTCTACATTGATTAGTCACAGGAGAACAACCAACTTCATATTGTCTAGTTCTGAGTGCTGACCAAACTCAACTGACAATTTTGCAATATAGCATCCAAGCTAGGAGGCTCTCCATGGTAGTGCACTTTAATGGGTATTAGTTGGTTGGAGGCAATTAATCAAGGTGCACCGAAATGTATAGCCTCCGAGTTTCGTGACCACAATGCAAAACGATCGATAGGACTAGCCAAAGTGAGATTGGTTGCTCTCTTGTAATCGATTAATACATGTAATCCAGTCCTACAAAGATTAATTGCGACTCGAATAGCTCAGTGGTAACTACACCAAATGCAATGCTTGGCGACACGGGTTCACATCTCAGGCAAGGCATCAGTTCCCACCGGGTTGCAGATATGCCTTGTCGATGAGTGCCAATAAGGACGAAGCCTAGCTTCAGAATTTCTTGTCGCCTCCAACCCACTTATTCAATCGAAGTGGTAAAATTCCATTCATATTATTAAACAGGGAATTATTCCTGTATTCTGACAGAAACTGTTATCGTAACCTTGTCTACCATCATGAAACAGTAGATCTTTATCACCTGAAGAGTACTTTTATAAAGGTTCGGTGAGGTAAAGAGGTTGGTGGAATGGAGGCAAAGATAAAAGCAGTTAATTTTAATGAGAAGGTATAATTACTAAAGTTGGCAACGTGACTGTGTGGCATTGAGTATAGAGAAATAATAAAAAAAGTTTCAAAATGGTGCTCATTTTCCATTGTTGGAAACAGAGATTGAAAGGATTGGCTTGGAAATAGGACATACTTTTACTTCAACTCATCACGTTGGTAGTTTTTAAAATGAAAACCTGGTTTAATTTAGTTTCAAAGAAAGCTGTTTAATTAGCTGCATGTTTCAAGTGTCTTTTAAGTCCTGCAGACATATATGTCTCATAGGTATCAATAGGGTTTTCATTAGAAACCACCTAGATATCACACCATGTGGTTCTAGCTGTTTCATGGCTCAAGTCTGATGAACATCTCAAGAATTAATTCGAAAATTTCTAAGGATATATTTCGCACAGTGTAACAACTTCAGAATGATTATTATGAATACCCCACTTGGCAATAAGGAAAGAGGTGGTTACATATATATTGACCACTTTATTTACCTAGGAAATCGTTAGGTTAGTTGTCGAATCGGATCTCAGCAAGGATATCGAAAGCTGGCATTGGCTTCTAATAAGTGAAAAACAGCTTCAGGTACCTTAACCATATCTGAATACCTGATAATAGTTAGATGCATTACAGAATAGTCCGTTGTGAAGTATAGCTAGCAGACGCACTGGAATCATACAAGTTTGAATTACTTCACTGTCGTTGTCTTCGTACCTCATAGGTTGTGCATAAAGTGAGTGAGAAAGGTAAGTGTTAGACGATTAGTACTAGATAATTATAGTTGGTTATGAACACTCATGATTCGCTTGCTATCATGATTATCATTAACATAGAACCAGGCATTACTGTACAATGGTCGGAGTTGTTGGATATCATATCACTACACTAAGTGAGAATGCACTAGCATGAAGGGTAAAGGAATAACGGAGAAAGTTGTCCGATGTTTTAGAAAGTCGTGGAAACAGAGCAAGGAAGAATGAGACAATAATGAAGTTGAGAATGACGATTAACATGAGGACAGTGTATAGATGGACCTGTGCCGATGAGGCCGACTCTAAGATATATCACTTAGAGTCTCAAACTACCGCTTTCTGCTGTTATGTTGATGGCAACCGGGAAGCCTGCATTTCTCTACACAGCACACGTTAACAGTCACAGACTTCATTCACTGAAGCCATGTTTTATTTTGACTTTGGGCGATGAGGTAGACGGTGACCAATCATGTGTAACGTATATCCCAGCCACCTCAATCAGTAAAGGTTAACAACCTCATTAACTGACCTTCCTCTCCCTCCTAAAGTCTACAACAATAACATGGGGACACAATGACACAACCTATGCTAAGAAGAAAATGGTAGTCGAACACCTGGAGACTTCTCATGTATTCTATTCTTGAATGATAATCATTATCATCATTATCAACATAGGACCAGGCATTACTGCGTAACGGTCCGAGTTGCCACACCTCATATCAGCACATCAAGTAAAAAGGTAGTGAGGTGAAGGATGAAGATAAGTGAATGCAGTCAAAAGAAATATAAAGTACGAGAAGAAAGGAAAGAGGAGTGACAAAATAGTGAGATTCGGTATAGCGTTGTTAAGATGAGGATAATGTGTGTATACATCTGCGCCACTGACTTCGGTTCTGAGCCATATCACCTAGGGTCTCCAACCACTGGTTCCTCTTGTCCCGTGGACCCCAACCACCTAGTCTGCATCGTCCTACATGGCTTAAACCAACAGTCAGAGACTTCATACATTGGTGCCATGTTTTAGTCTGGCCACCTCGGGCCTTTTTCCAGCCTGAACCCACCTCAGCCAACATTGTGTGACGAGGCAATCGGTGACTAGGCATACGTAGTACGTGTCCCAACCATCTCAGTCGATGAAGGTTCACAACCTCGTCGACTGACTTACCTCTTCTCCCTAAAACTCTACACCTAACTTCTGCATTACTCACATGGTGACACCACGGAATACGTCCTATACTACGAAGGCAACGGTGGTCAAATACCTGTAACCTTCTCATGTCTTCCACTTTCAATGGCCATGTTTCACAGCCATACAGTAGAACAGAGCGGACTGCTGTGCAGTACACGCGACCCTTAATAGACAAACGAATATCACGGCGGCGCCATAGGTGGCGCAAATTGGCAAAAGCCAATCGAGCCTTTTGTATCCGTGCAGAAATCTCATCGGCAACTAACCCACCGGAGTTGATCCTACTTCCCAGGTAAGTGAAGTGGTCAACACACTCAACCACTTCACTCTCTATTGTTAACCGCGGTACCGCTGAAGACCAGTCCTGGAGCAAAAATTTGCATTTGGGTGGTGAAAATCGCATCCCAAACATTCTCAAATTCCCACTCAAAGTGTTCAGAAGACTCTGCATCTTGTCAGCGTCTTCACCTAACAGGACTATGTCATCTGCATATTCTAGATCTAAGGAAAATTCACCTGTGATCCGGTCAACGTCTTTGTAATTAGGTGACGAGAGGGAAACCTCCATAAGAATATCTATGATAAAATTAAATAAGAATGGGGATAGTGGGCATCCTTGACGGACACCACTTGATGAGTATAGCTCCCTGGACAACTCACCATAGGCTCTAACATGCCCACAAGTGTTCGAGTAGAGAGCTTTCAATAAGGTGATGTACTTACTAGGCACGCCTTTCAGTGACAGACACTGCCATAAGACTTCTCGATCAACGGAGTCAAATGCCGCCTTCAGGTCGAGAAATACAGCTATTGTCGGGCGTCTGTAAGCATGCCTATGTTCCAGGACCTGGCGCAGTGTGAATATTTGGTCGATACATCCACGGCCAGGTCTAAAGCCTGCCTGGTTTTCTCGGGCTTGCTGTTCCCGAGCTCCACTCAGGCGTCGGAGAATTATAGAACTTAGGATCTTAGACACTATGTTTGTCAGGCTGATTCCTCTGTGGTTATCACAAGAGGACTTCTCGCCTTTCTTGAAGACTGGGATGATCAGTGACTTAGACCAGTCGGAGGGGATCGTATTTGATTCCCATATACTGGCTAACACTTCCGTTAGCCTGACTAAGAGAACTCTACCACCATTCTTGTATACCTCAGCAGGTAGTCCGTCTGGTCCTGCTGCCCTTCCCCGTTTCAGGCTACCTACCGCTTTCTCAACTTCTTCTAGTGTTGGGGGACCTGTCTCTATGTCCCATTCAGGGTCCGACTGGATAGCGGGCAGCGCAATGGTGGCTGGAGGCCAGTTAAACTGTTCCTCAAAGTGTTCTGCCCATCGTCCCAGTCGCCTTCCCTGCGAGTGAATCGCCGATCCGTCCTTCTCCGCTATAACCTCACTAACTGTTGTTGACCATTTCCCCCCAGTCTCCTTAATAAGTCTAAATAACTGTCTACTGTTACCGATCGCCGCTGCCTTTTCCATCTCTTTAGCCTTTGCTGCCCACCACTGTTCACGATCGTTGCGCATTGATAATGTTTCACAGCCATATAGTAGAATAGAGCGAACTGCAGCGCAGTACACTGGACCGTTAACAGACAACCGGATATCATAACGGAAACCAATAGAGCCTTTTTCATCAATGCGGAGATTTCGTCGATCTATGACTCATCATGGCTGATAAGACTTCCCCAGTAGACGAAGTGGTCCGCTTCTCTAACCATTGCTAAGCTCGAACTGCCATGATACCAATCAAGTGACCCAGTTTATCACTTAAATATGACACAATTGCCTGGTGAATTTGATGGTTGTACAAACTCAGTGATAAAGGTCTAATTTTGACCGGGAAGTAAAACTATCTTCTTTTATATTTTCAACACCCAATTATAACAGCTTTTTTTTTCTTAATCGCATTTCTCTTTTCACATTTTAAACCACTGCTTGTACCATTATACTTCAGTTTGATTCTAGCTGATTTCCTATTCCTGTCATAGTATGAAATGTAACAGATTAGGCGGATACAATAGGCCTGCCTGATTCACTATTCCCGTCTAGAGAAGCAACAGTAGTCGTCGGTAAACACAGCACCATTAATATCATAATCACTTCATAATGAATCACAAAGAAGTATCACAGAATCGCCAGTTTACTCAATAAAATCATCACTTATGGAATGTTAAAACACTTTGGTATATAAAGGCTCTATACAGGACAGCATAGATTATCTTCTACACGGTCTAAACTAAAGCTTTGGGAATTTTCAGCGGTTCAAGTCTGATCACTGTATTGAAAAGAAGTATGTTCAATCCTTAGTTTTACCTCGGCCAAAATCTCCTTAAACACTTTAATTATTTCTCTGATGTAAACCTGTAAGCAACTTTTTGGTGAGCTTCAGTTGACCTCTAAGGTAGTATCACCTTGTGACTATATTGGCAAACTTTCATGATCTTGTATGGATCGGAAAACATGAAATGCTATTTCTAGATAAACCATGCAGACCTTTATACTGCTTAGACAGTGACGTATGCCTTATCACTACACAGATATATTGGCACATCACAAGCGTTCGCAAATTTAGATCCATTCAGCAACCTTGTGCGCATTCGTGCAGTAGCGATTAGCCAAACATCTATCGCGTGTGACAGTTGGCTAATGATACTAGTGCCTGGCTAGCCTATACTCAATAGGTGGAGTGGGGTTCGAACCCATGATTTATTAGTTGAAACTTAGCTCCCAAAGCCAATGAGCTACAGTTCAAGTGGACTGAAGAACAATAAACCTTAAAGTGCACTATTCATGCCTCATGTAAAAATAAAATATGAGAGAGCTTGATTACTCAATGTTCTGGAATATTCTTTAATCAGTGAACTTACACAAGATTTCGATGTTGCAGCGCACATATGCATAAATATATCACATGGCTGGAAAATACTTTCAGTCAAAATAAAATAAGATAAAAAAGGGTGACAAACATTATGAATCGATTCACAGGGTCATGTTAACAACTACAAAGATTAACCACTTGGATATCACTATTTCATGCCAAAACGTCCATCATAATCAACCTCGCCTCGTTCACTAGTTACTAGCCGGTCCTAAGCCCGGATAAACAGGGAACCTTCGGCTGGGCATACATACGCCTAGCAACCATACACCACAAAATCAATGCAACCACCAAACAGACTTCAAAGCACACACAAAATATAAAAAATAAAAACAAACTTAGTCCTAGCTGCAATCCACAACGAAATAACGCCAGTTGATCAAAGCCTTCAGCAAGCCAGTCGACCGATGTCTCTTCTATTCTCTCCATGAAAGCGAAAGTAAACATCGCCACATGGAATGTTCACACTATGTATCAACCTAACAGGGCTTCACAGATTCCAAAACAAACCAGAAGGTATGGCATAGAAGTGATACGAATCTGTGAAAGCAGGTCGAATGGAAGTGGACTCTCACAACTCTTAACTACAGAGTCAATAATCTACTCCGATATTCTCACACACACGACAACCACGAGCACACTCAGTTTTAGAGTGGACATCATGATGTCACCTTCAAGAGCATCAAAGCCTCTCATGCAGTCATAACCAGTCTCCTCCAGGATCAACATCATCACAGCAAGACTTAACTTACAAGGAAGGAAAGTTACAATCATTCAATGCTTCGCTATGCCGTCCACCTACAAGTAATGCAGATCAAGAGAAGTAAGAGGAATTCTATAGACAACTACAATCACTAATAGACAAGACTCCAGTTGGCGACATCAAATGCATTCTAATGCGTGGGGTGACATCAATACCAAACTATGAGCGGACAACACATCATCGGTCGAGATGAATTCGGTGAAATGAACCAGAATGGAGAACTACTTGCAGATTTCTGCGCATTCAATGGTTTGGTGATTCAAGGCAGTGTAAACAAACACAATGATATTCACAAAGAGACCGACATCGACTTCACCAGACACCACGACACACTCCACTAAAAATCACATCGACTTCATCACAATCTCAAGAAAGTCAACACGCAGCCTACTCGACACAACATCTGATCGATCAACAAGGGGAGAACATGTAGCTTCACATCACTCACTTCACTATCTAGTGTGAACAACCTTCAAAATCAACACGAAAGCCTTCAAACAACCTGCTGGTGATAGACCACCACACTTCAAGTGAACACCCAGAACAGAAACTGAAAGACATCTTCACGTCAGCCATCACATCAAAATAAAAGACATTCAGCAACATCCCTCAACAAACCTCCGGGCAACAACAACACTGGAACACTTTGAAACACACCTGGAAGCAAACCTGAATAACCCTGTTACGAAGGAAGAGGAAACGAGACCAGGAATGGATCTCGACAGACACATGAAAGCTGATACACGAGAGGAAGATGGTGTAGCGGAAGATAAACCAGTGCAGTGCGTGCAGTGCATGGATCAACAAGGAAAAGAGGAACTGAGTTCAACCTATAAAACACTACACTACGCTACACTGGAAAAAGAAGTGAAGAAGAGTGAGCGCAAAAACAAAAGACACCTACCTCTACGATACACTGCCAAGTGAAGCACAACACGCTGCAGACTGCATGTAGGACAGACAGTCAGTCAGTGACCTGACAACATTATATCAATCAAATAACCAGGCTACTATCTGGGAACAGATCAACGCAGACGGAACCAATGACAGATGATAGTGAAGGAAAGCCAGTTCCAAAAAGGACAAACAAAGGAAACAATGTGTTCACAACTTCGAAAACTCTTCAGTCGACCACCAACACCACCACCATCCGCAACTCGTCCACAAATACCACCATCAGCCAAGCCACAGAATTACCAGTCAACACAATCTCCTTTGATTAAAAGCCCATGTCATGAACGCCATAAACTTACTGAAATCCGAAGAAGCAACACGTCCACATGGAATTCCGCACCACAAGCCCTGAAAACAGACAACGCGGTCATACTCACACCACACCACTATTCCAGAAGGTTTCCAAAGAAGGACGGAAGGAAAGGTACCCGCAGACTGCAAGAAGGGCTACCTTGTCAAACTCCTAAAGAAAAGAGACATAAGCCTTTGCATGAAATAGCGAGGAATCATGCTACTGCACACCACAAGCAAAATGTTATGCCGCATCATCCTGGAGAAACGAAAGGATGCGCTGGATTCAAAATTGCGACCGGAACAGGTTGGCATCACGGAGAAACAATCATCTTCAGACCAAATTGTAATGCTACGCTACGCTATGCATCATCGTACAGTAGAGCACAGAATAGAGTATACCAGTCAACTCTTCACCTCAACTTCATCGATTTTCAAGACACCTTCCATAGCATCGACCGAAAAGTAATTTGGCAGGCAGGCAGGCAGCTGCTGCTACTGCTGCCTCAACACTACACCTTCAGTGACACAACATTTATTAATCTCATTCAACAGCAATATGCTCTATATGCTAGATACTACATGACAAGTGATTCACAATCGAAAGCTCAGAGATGCCTTTAAAGTGAAGTGAAGTGAAGACAGGAGTAAGACAAGACAAGGTTGCTCACTATCACCGATCATCTGCCTGATTGTGGATGACTGGATTATGCAACAAACTGTGAGGTGTGAGAAGAGAATGCTGTTCGACCAATGAAAACACCTTAGAAGATTTTCATTTCGTCTATGATGATCTGTATCTCATGTCTTGTCACACAAACTCGAAGATCTACAGGTGAAAACAAACAAAATGGTAGAAGAAGCGAGGTAGCAAATACACGAGTTGCTTCAAGTGAACGTGGGTGATGACAATACTCAACCACCACCACCACCAACAACAACAAGCACCAATCACCATGAAGGGGAGAAACGTAAAGCAAGTTGTCTCTTTCATCTACATAGCCCCCTACCTACCTACCTACATAGGCAACATCGTTTCAACTACACACTGCGGCACAGATGAGCATTTCAAAGCCATGATCGGAAAGACAGCAAGACAGGCCTTCCAGCATTAATCTGAATAATCAGTGTGGAGACCTCTGCACTGCACTCAGCATAAAGCGTGATCAATATCCGGATCTTCAACACCAATTCAGTCAAGTAACTCAGTGCTGCTATGTGATGGTTCACAAACTTGGCGTGTCACTAGAGGCACGACGGGATCGTACTCAGGATCTTCAGGTTTCACGGCAAGCACGTTACTATTGGGTCCCCGGGTAACAGTCCAACGGTTCACATTTTCTTTCAATGATTCTTCTCCTCAGTAATGCACTCCTAAAACTCCACCGGAAATCGGACCTAGGACCATCAAGTTACGCGGTTAGTATAAATCACCAAAGTGAATTTTGTTGTTAAATTGTAAGGTCGACATTTAGCGATCCTCTTATCTCAGTTAGTTAACTAGTCAGAGTTTCCGCTTAGTAAACTAATCAAAGTTGGATATCAAAAAGGCAAAATTAAATTAAACTGGGAATAATGTAAGCTAAACTCTAAGACTGTCAAATAAAGCTAACTGGAAACTAGACCACTTGCTGAAGTCAACCTTTCCCAGGTTCGAATCCCACTCGCTATATAAAAAGCAGTGTGTCATCACTAATTAAGGCAATTCATAGCCTACTTCATCAGGTTGTAATCAAACAGTAAGTTAACCAATCACAGTTGATATAATGAATATCATGGAGAAATTTGGGGGGCAGGGGGGGGGGGAATTGTACTGATAAACACCTATTACACTCTCTGTAACATAAATCAATCAATTAAAACAAGCAAACAAAACAGACAAATCAACGAAACAAAATCAAAATCATAAAATGATTATGAAAAATTTCTTTTCTTAAAAAATAAATAAATAAATAAATAAATAATAATCGTGAACAAGTAGACTACACATTATGAACAATATGTACTTGAAAATAAGCGGTACTGAATATTCATAAAGAATAATTCAAGAGTTGAATCAAGCTGTTGGCCAAGTCAGTGTTTTTGGCACTGGCACTGGCACTGGTACACTAATCTTTACACTCTGAATGTTCTTACCAGATGTACAGATGTCACCACAAGAGACAGATATGCATATATATAAGTTAAAAAAAAAAACACGTCTATCTACCAGTTTATCAAAGATATTCTTCTGTTGACAAAAACATCAAAATACTCTCTACTATTTATTGAACAAATAATCTCTAAAGGAAAAAATACAAGGTGATGAAGAAGAAGAAGATGGAGAAGTGAATGTAAACACAAAGTGTTTACACATATGCATCAAATGTATACACACATATATATAAAACAATATGAATCGATGACATGAACAACAACAAAAAAGAGAATTCAATCTGTGCGCATGTTTATTTTATCATCAATAGTAACAAGAGATGATGATGATGATGATAACTATTGTTACAATGGGACATGATTGAACAGATAGGAGACAGATTCACCATTATGTGTTCGACGGATAGCTTCAGCCAGCATAGTGCTAACATCAATACACTAAAAAAAAAAAGGAGGGGAGAAGAAAAACAACAGATAAAATAAGAGAAGTTTTATTTTGGAGATAATATAGCAATCTAACCATTTTTTTACTTTACCATAAATCCATAACTGTAACATACACATAGTGAACATTGAATAGGAGTTATACAATAGGTTTTCTAATGGCACCAAAACAACCAACAATATATATGCCACTAGCGTGTGCAGTTATGGTTCATTGGCCTTAGGACATGACTTTCAACTAAAAGGGTCACTAGTTGGAACACTATTTCCCTTATCGAGTTTTTGAAACACACAATAAGTGTATTTTATTGCCTACTACTGTAAGAATGTGTACAAGGTCGATGTAGATGCATTTCGACTAAACTGTGCATACTTCATAATCGCTTGATAATCATATAGCAGCATTGAGTTACTTGACTGAATTGGTGTTGAAGATCCGGATGCTGTTCACGCTTTATGCTGAGTGCAGTGTAGTGCAGTAAGTCTCCACACTGATTATTTCAGATTAATGCTGGAAGGCCTGTCTTGCTGTCTTTCCGATCATGGATTTGAAATGCTCATCTGTGCCGCCGTGTGTAGTTGAAACGATGTTGCTTATATAGGTAGGTAGGGGGTATGTAGGTGAAAGAGACAACTTGCTTCACGTTTCTCCCGTTCATGGTGATTGGTGCTTGTTGTTGTTGTTGGTGGTGGTGGTGGTTGAGTATTTTCATCACCCACATTCACTTGAAGCAAGTCGTGTATTTGCTACCTCGCTTCTCCTACCATTTTGTTTGTTTTCACCTGTAGATCTTCGAGTTTGTGTGACAAGACATGAGATACAGATCATCATAGACGAAATGCAAATCTTATAAGGTGTTTTCATTGGTCCTCTCCTCACACCTCACAGTTTGTTGCATAATCCAGTCGTCCACAATCAGGCAGATGATCGGTGACAGTGAGCAACCTTGTCTTGTCTTACACCTGTCTTCACTTCACTTCACTTCACTTTAAAGGCATCTGTGAGCTTTCGATTGTGAATCACTTGTCATGTAGTATCTAGCATATAGAGCATATTGCTGTTGAATGAGATTAATAAATGTTTGTGTCACTGAAGGTGTAGTGTTGAGGCAGCAGCAGCAGCAGCAGCTGCCTGCCTGCCTGCCTGACAAATAACTATTCGGTCGATGCTATCGAAGGTGTTTTGAAAATCGATAAAGTTGAGGTGAAGAGTTGACCCGTACGGCACAAGTTGCCACACCTATATCACCACATCGAGATGAGGAAAAATCAATCAAGAGAAGTAGGAAGTAGTAAAAGAGGAAGACGAATGAGAAAATAACGTAGGTGATTAAGTCTAGCAGTTAACATAAAGATAATGTATGGGGAAACATCTACACCAATTACATCGCTTCTGAGCCATATCACACAGAGTCTCCAAACAATGGTTTCTCTTGTCCTACACACTCCAACCGGCCACTCTGCATCGCCCTACATCGCTCAAACGAATAAGCAACGACTTCATGCACTCACGCCACGTTTCAATCTGACCACCCCAAGCCTTTAACAACCTGAAACCGCTTACGGAGACCTTCTGTGACAAGGCAGACCGTGGCTAGGCATACGTAACACATGTTCCAGCCATCCCAGTAGATCAACGTTCACAACCTCACTAATTGACTTCCCTCTCCTCTTTAAAACTTTACACTTGACCTTCGCGTCACTAACATGGTAACACCACAAAACATGCACTATGCTACGAAGGCAATGGTTGACAAACACCTAACGCCTTCTCATATCTTCTACCCTAAATGGCCATGTTTCACAGCCGTAAAGCAGAACAGAGAGGACTACAACACAGTACACTTCAAGATGTGCGTTTTCTTCTTTTTAGGACTCGTCAGCTGGATGTGCCCGCAACTCAGTGAGTGGTGTTGTTCCCACTAAAACGTGAACCCACGACTGGTCACTTCAAACCAAAAAACGTTATCCACCAGACCATCAAGTCACGCTAGTCACCTCTTCTGATGTTGCTTGTAACTTCCCCTCAATTATTGGACTTAATTGATCTCTGGTCTCAGTTTTCGCATACGAGCTGATGCCTCGATATACTGTTTACAGTTTAGTAGTGGTAGGAGGAGATTCCAATTAGCTAGCTACAAATGCTATTTTTTGTTCAAGGATCTGTCTGAAGGTTTTCGAGAAGGCAGAGAACTGCTGCTGTGATCACTACAGTGTAAGCAGTATGATTTGTTGTCCAATATCTTACGTTCTGTAAGCTGGAAATGGGTAAGTAAAGCTTGAAAACAGACAGGTTTCAGACGCAATCATAGGTGTGCAGACTAGATATTCATACTCTGCCAGGTACTGAAACAGACACACACATACTTATTTGCATCCGATGTTGACTTCATTAATTGACGTGAAGGTGGCATTCGACTGTTTTATGACAGTCTACTGCTGAAAGAAACGCCGAGTAGTTATCTCATTCTTTTCAAGGACGTGGAGGAGCCTGTAGAAGCGTACGAGGTGAACTATTTACATCGAGTAACTTTTACCAAGTATATGCACCCTTTCCTTTTAATAGACGTCTCTTTTTCGCCAGATCTGACCGAACATGGATCGTTCATGCCATAATTAGTCCATTAATCGACCTACAGTACGCAGATGACATAGTACTGTTAGGCGAATATGTTGACAGGACTCAGAGTCTTCTGAACACATGGAGACCACTATAAGAGTATTGATACACATCTCTTAACACCGAAATTGCTCAGGAACTGGTCTGCGTTAACCACCGGCATAACAGTAGGAAATGATGCAGTTGACCACATTGACCACTTCAATCACGTGGAAAGTCGAACTAGCCGTCGTGGGTCAGTGACTATCAAAATATCTACACGAGTGTAAAAGGTTTGACTGCCTTTTGTCAACTTATGCCGTATATGCTGTCTGTAACTATACCGGCTAATCAAGTAGTTACACACTTCCCTGAGAAAACTAGGCGGAAGAAGTTAGTCAGTCAGGTTTGGCAAACGCCTACACACTCATGAAGCAACCAATCATGTCACACTCATAGAATGAAGCAGTCTATAAATATCCATCCACAACCATTGTAAAGCTCTGATGAACAGGTAACGATATCTGATATGACAATGAAACGTTTTCCAATATGTACATTAAGCGTTTTTAAAGCAATTCCCTTACTTGTATCTTAGGTGCTTTACGCATATTTTCTTCTTGTGGTAATGTATTCGTTACAACAACAGCTTCAAAACCTGACTTATTAATTCGTTCTAAAGCTGGACCTGAAAATATACCATGTGTACATATAGCGTATACACGCTCAGCACCAGCCTCAATCAATCTACAAAGTAAACCACAAAAAAAAGGAATAAAAACTGAGCAAATGATAGAAAAACATCTTACTGCTTATTCCAAGTTAGATGTAAGGTTCCCAGGGATGAGCAATAATGATGATGATAATAATAATAATAATAATATGGAACACTGAGGTATCAGAAATGTTGACAGGTTGACTACATTTATTCCCTTCGATTAACTTCAACAAAGCAATAAGTACAATATTTACAGAATGAGATGGCGTAATCTTATTTCGTAGGATTTTCATTAGCATCATACAGTCTGACCGGATAAATAAATAGTCCTGCTCAGTGGCTCATTGGTAACGCGCTGGCTGCGGAACCTGAAGGTCGCGGGTCCGATCCCTGCTGGTGGGGCCGTGGGTGCGCACTGCTGAGGAGTCCCATACTAGTTGGACGAAACAGCTGTCCAGTGCTCCCAGGTTTCCTTTGTTCCTCCAACTGATGTCAATCTACGATGAATAACAACTTGAAATAAATAGCCACTGTAAGAAATTCTGGTAAATTCTATGCGAAAAGTCTTTTGATGCTCGTTTAAATTGAGAAGAATACCACTTTCAATTCACAATACAAAAAAATTTCCAACAATGAAATACAGTCAAACTAGGGACCATGCCAAGCAAGTGAGTCAGTGAAGAATGATCAGAGGGAGATATCGCATTACTGTGTAACCATCCTTTGAGCTTAATGTCAATCAGCACATAATTAGGAGTCAACGTGAAAGATAGATAAATTAGGAAGAAACTAATTGAAGGCGGTAGATAATCCTGAAACGAGAATAGAAGAAATGTAAAAATAATGACGGAGATAGTATATGGATGCAGCTACGCCACAGAAATCCATTCTGTACCATATCACCTAGAGTTTCCTACAACCAATTTCGATTGTTATACGGACTTCAACCGGGAATTTTTCATTTTCCTGTGTCGCTGAGACCAACAGCCAGAGAAGTCCCGGACTGAGGTCAAAATTTGTTCTAGTCACCTCTTACTGTATTCTAGCCTGAACCTACTTAGTCTAACATTTGGCGACGGGACAGACGATGACTAGGTATGTGTGATACATATAGCATCCATCTAAGTCGATTAAAATTCCCAACCTTATCAACTGATGCGCCTGTTCTACCTGAAACTCCACGCCTAACGTCTGAATACTGATGCGGTAGTTACACAACACATGGTCTGTGCTTCGAAGGTAACGGTGATTAGATGTGTTGAGCCTCCTATATCCTCCAGCGTTGAAAATTATGTTTCCCAGTCAAACAACAAAACAGGTGAACTGCAGCACAGAACACTCTCCCTTCAATAGGCAATCGGATATCGACCACTTCACTCTCTATGTCAGGTAGAACAACAACTTACATTCGGATAATACAAAACACATTCAAACATTCTCAAGACGTTCGGTAGACTCCACATCTCGTCAGCGTCTTTATCCAACAGGACTGTGTCATCTGTGTACTCTAGATCTACGAAGAAGTCAGTCATAGTCTTTTACACTGCTCCTATAGCACACTGAAAATAAGATGAGGCTTCTCCCAAATGAGTGTTATTGTCCTGTTCTAATAACCATCTAACCAGTTCTTAGTTGAAAGCAGCCTTGATAATCTTATTGTCCACCCTAAAATGGGACTCGTCAGCAATACACACCTACAATTTCACTTCCCCAGGGGTCGATCCTAGGACCCTCAAGTTTCGCAGCAAGCATGATCCCACCGGTTGGGAATTTACTGATCTCAAGTTGTTATCAATAAATCCCCCAAAACCTCTGATTTCAATTACTGTCCAGTGTTTATTAGTGACATGTCTCGAGATGAGACTTTACAAGGTTCTAATCAGAAGTCCTCACCGGTGGACCAAAACAAGTCAGATGTGAGGACAAATACTCAGAGACGACATTGGATGAACATCATGCTATATCACGAAATGACGAAGCAGGAAAAATATGGACCGTCGGATTCCAACCAGTGGTTCAATGGTAATGCGTTAGTTGTGTAATCTAAAGGGCATGGGTGCAAATAACTGAGGAGCCATATGCTAGGACGAAACAGCAGCTGTCCAGTGTGCTCCCAGGTTTTCAACAGTTGTCCAACTGTCAGTTTGTGATGAATGCCGTCTTGATGTGTAACCTATATTCCATCAGGAATCAATCTAAACATATTATAAGACTAGATAACCAGTTCAAATGATGGAAAGCAGAAAAGCAGTAGATTGAGGGAAGGAGCAAACATGTAGGCTCTCGTTTAAAATCATGATGCCACTCAGACTGTTATTTTCACCAATCATCCCCAAATACACTTAGGTGATGAGGATAAAATTACACACACATATTGATAATAAATGTGATAGCATTTTGTATTACTTGTCTGCTGCAGTACAAATTGTCCCACAGGTGTCTGCCATATCATCGACCAGAATGGCTACACGTTTACTTACATCACCAACAAGAACCATACGATCCACTTCGTTAGCACGTTTTCTTTCTTTATGAATAAGCGCAAAATCCACATTCAACTGATCTGCTATTGAAGTCACTCTGAATGTAAGGGGAGAGGAGAGGGAAGAAAAAGAATGACAGTAATTCTAAAGATGGATGGGTGATCAAGGAAATCGGTTTTATCAGAATATTACCAAATTAATTTCTTATATATAGTGTATATATAATTAGAAATACATGTATAATAAAATCTTTCCACAATATGAATCATACTGAGGAAATCTACACCATACACGACGTGGACTAACAGTCAGGAACTTCTTCGACTACTGCCACATCTTAGTCTTACAACTTAATCTAGCTTTCGCCAGCATGGCAAATAGAGGTAGGCGGTCAGTCGACGAAGGTTCACAACCTCATTGACCAACTTTCCTATTTTGCCTAGTACCCTTCGCCTAACTTCAATATTACCAACATGGTGATCCCACTATACGCCAGCCACCCAACGAAGACACCTGAGATTAAAATCCCCAAACTTCTTCATATTTTCTACTCTCAACGGCGGTCTCACAGCTATATAACAGGACAGAACGGACTGCAGTGCAGTATACTGGTTTTTGATAGATAGTCGGATATTTTGCCAGTCGGCGCGAGAGATGATGCAAGTAGCCGCCAAATACCGAACGTGGATTGACCGGTAGTCAGTGGCCTTAAAAAAAGATCTACAAACTGCTAGATGTGTCATTTGACTATACTACATACATCAAATGTTAAAGTCCATGACGCTTTTGGCCTAATAATGTATCTCTGAAATCGGGTTGATCTACCTCTACGTATGAAAACCAAATATCTTTCTTGAAGTAAAGTGATGAACCGCATACACGTACACTTTATTGCAGGAATGCACAATAAACTTTGTACTGATCAGAAGATGTGAATCGAAAATTCAATTCTGACTCGTTACAACTAAGCTGAGGTTTACAACAAACTCGATAACGGGTTCGAAGTACACTCCACCTACTGAGGCTTCAGAAATCAAGTAATATCTATCAACAGCGCTTACACAATAAGTGCGGTTGATTGATTACTCAAGTGTGTAAACATGCAGCAGGTTGGTGACAGAGTTTCGTTTTCGTCTCCACTGACTCAACTTGTGAGAAAGTGATCACCACTGAGTACATCCATAATGCACCGACCTTTATCCAACACAAATAATGCTTAAATTAGCGCAGCGAATCGGAACCGTATTGCACTCTGCAATCATGTGGTATAAACTCGCCTGGTTAACCAGTTCACTAGTTACTAGCCGGTCCTAAGTTGAAGCACACCCCAAGTAAGTCTGAAACCTACTTGACTTTCCAGCTACACTGAAGCATTTTCAGTGATTTTATAAACTCCAATGTTAGACACTATGCTGGTCAGACTGATTTCTTTGCAGTTATCACAAAAGAATTTCTGTCTTCTTGGACAATCAGTGATTGTGTTCAGGCAGATGAAATCATATGTAATTTTCGGAACATATACGTAAACCAACTCAGTTACTATAGGTGCACAACTCATCGATCCACTTTCATTCTTTATTTAACCTCTAAATTTCATCATGCATGAGTAATGCTACGAAAAGACCTGGTCAGAAAACTGCAGTTTTCCATATCTACTTTTAACGTCCATGTCTCCTAGTCGTATAACAGAACAGTACGGACTGCAGCGCAGAAACTTGTCCACTAATAGGTAGTCGCTATTCGGTGTGAGACGATGTAGGTTGACGAATGCTAAACGAACCTTATGTATCCAAACTGTCAACTAGGATCCAGTTAAGCATGACACTTTCTGTCTTGCAACTTATCCCTATTCCTAAATCTGAAAGATTGAGAAAACTAATGATCGAATCTCGTGAATTTGACAGATTTACCATATCATACAAGTGACGTTAAATGAATGACTGCATATGGGTCTTGGATGCATGTCTTACAAACACAACACATGTACATGGCCTAAGATGCCAGAGTTCCGGTCGGCGGATATTGTTGCGCGATTTGATAGGGGTTATGGACATTGAAGGATCTAATATGTAATCCTCAGGCCAGTCTCAGGAGACTAGGGATGCTGTCCTGTGAACGAGAATTGTTATCAATGACTATAGAGCTGGAAGAAATTAAAAATAACATGTGAATATTGATCGAGAGAGATCCGTTTGAGGTCAGTCACTTACAGATATTCTACAAGTTTGAAATTTGATTGTTTGATATCCAGTTAGAAGATGCGTAGCACCAACACATTACTGCTGTCACACCCCATCCAGCCAGCAGCAGGATTTCCCCCTCGGACCATCACTATAACTTAACTATTTAACTGCTTCACTACCCAACAGACCTTTCTGTTACGTCTGAATCTCAGAAGAACAATTGTTCCAACCAATATAGCTCGTTGGGTCACTGAATATACGAAAGTAACCACCAAATCAGGGTAGCACCTATCGTTGGGACTCTACAAAAAAACCTGTAACTCCACTAAATAAAGCATAGAAAGTAGCAATACTTACTGACAGAGCCAAGTAGGTCATCAAGTCAACTTTTATGATTTGAAGATTACATAGACCACCTTCGGTTAGTTTCCTCCTTAAAATCTATGTCTTAAAGAGCAACTCCTTGGCAGTTTGACTTTGGTACATAGCCCATAGTCTATGAAGGCAGTTGTTTAGGTTGCATACCCTGTCGGTAACCATTCCAGTGGAGAGAAGTCTCATATACTATTCATTTGATTGCAGTCCATCGAACAATCCCACAATCATCTCCGTTAGATGAACTTTGATTTCTATCAAGAGAAATCTGCTTCCACTCTACAACCTTAGCATCATCCCTACACCCTTACACCACTTATCATATGTTGCATATTGCACTTATACAAGGCAGTTTCTATATCGTAGTAGACATGGTGATTCTGATCTTTGTTCATATTTAGCAACTGAAGCAATGCATAAATTACATCGATAAATTCTATCTGGAGTTGAATGAAGAATATCATCGATCTTTAGATTTACCTATCTGGTCAGTGTTATTGCCACCTTTTAGTGTCACATCCAAGTTTATGTTTCAAATACTTAGCTTTAACTGCAGTCAAATTTAAAATTATTTTCTCCAGGACTGATCTGTAACTACTCTAAGAATGCGTTGACCACTTCACTTACTTTGGGGAGTTGCACTAGCTCGAAGGGTCTACTTGTTGACCAAATCTCAGCTAGAATACAAAGGCCCATTTCGCATTTTCTCACTTGCGAGATATTCGATTACTAATTAAAGGATAAATATACTGCGCTGAAGTGTATTCTGCCCTCTTATATATACCCGTGAAACACAACCGCAGAAAGGAGAAAATGTGACGCGACTACAGGTTTTCCATCACATGAGTTTTCGAAGCATGGCTCGACTATAGTGGAATCACTATATCAGCAGTGTCAAAGTTAGGTGAAGGTACGAGGCAAAGCAGGTAAGTAGGTCGATGAGGTTTCGAATCTTCATCGAATGAAATAGCTTGAAAATGTGTTGCGTATGCCGAGCCACCTACCTACAGGAAGTTGGGTTAGGCCGAAGAAGGCTCAGAGTCGCCAGATAAATATGTGGTATCAATCATAAAGTCTCTGACTGTTGGTTTGGGCTGTATATGGAGGTGTAGACTACAAGGATAGAGTATTCGAGACGATAGGAATCAGTAGTTTAGTGAGGACTCTTGGTGACATGGCTGAAAATTGGTTAGAATGGCGCACATGTATTCACTCTTCGACGTCTTTTAAAGTTTGAATGTTTTGTAAACTACAGTGAAGTGTGGCAATTGGAACAGATGAACTTGTGTACGAGGTTCTACATTGATATTGTCTATCGGTTTGTCTGCTTTGAGTGTATACCAAATATCTAAAACAATAACCTGGAACCAAATATACTACTTCCGTAATATTTGATTATAGAATAGTACAGATACGAATGTAGTAAATACACTCACCTTTTAGCTCCACCAGCATCTGGACTAACGATACAACAATCCTTCCATTCTGGTATATTTGTTTTAATCCATTTAATAACTGCTGGTTCAGCATACAAATTGTCAACAGGAATATCGAAGAATCCTTGAATCTGACTAGCATGTAAATCCATTGTGATAATGTGATCAGCTCCAGCAACTGACAGCATGTTGGCGACTAATTTAGCAGAGATGGGAGCACGCGATTTATCCTGAAATATGCATTAAAAGTACATGACAGATAATTCATTATGAAATTCAATTGAAATATAAGTTTAAGCGTTCCGGCCATCATTGTTGGTGCATATGCTATTCGATGGTTGCAGGTAGTAGGATGGATGTACTTTTAATCAATGTTGGATGCTGTTAAAGAGACTAGTCGGTTATTGCTTCACGACTATAGTGAACTTGGGAAGACTTAGATATATATTCCATTGAGATCATCAAAACACTCGATAGGGAGAAAATAGCAATAGACTAACAAACTGATTAGTAGCGAAATTATGCCTGAAATCTACAGAGTAACTTGATTTGTTATCAAAGCGAGCATGAACTGTTTTGTTAGATACGTGACCCGACATATACCTGGTATCTCAATATGGTGACCAGGTCTGTATATCACAATTGCCCGGTAAGCTGTGCTAGCGAAAAAGATTGCAACTTAAGATCTTATCAAATCAGAAACGTCTCCCGGATAATGGTAAGAAAAGAAGGAACACCAAACTTATTCCTTTAAAACCCCGCTAGGAGTTTCTCATTGAGGTTTACAACGTCAATTGAAAAAAGAGTGATAGCAATGTAGACAAGGGGGGGGGATGACAAACAATCTGAAGATAAAGGTAAAGGAAAATATCGAGGTTTTAGAAGAGATCAAAGAGTGAATACATGTGCGCCATTCTAACCGATTTTCAGCTATGTCACCAAGAGTCCTCACTAAACTACTGATTCCCATTGCCTCGGATAGTCTACATCTCCCCATACAGCACAGACTGACAGTCAGACTTTATGATTGATGTCACGTGCTTATCTGGTGACCCTGAGCCTAGTACCTTCGCCTAACCTTGACGCTGCTGGTATGGTGATTCCACAATACTCGAGCCATGCTACGAAGACTCATGTGATGGAAAACCTGTAATCGCTTCACATTTTCTTTTTTTAACGGCCATGTCTCGCAGCGATATAACGGAACAGGACGAACTGCAGCAATGTATTTAAGGAGGGGGTGGAGTAGCATTTATTTGAACATAACGGCAGTGCTCATCCTGAAGAAATTTGATGCGATATTAAGTCCACTGTAAAAGCGGTAGTTAACATAGTTGGTAACCTACATCCAAAGGTTAGCAAACGTCAATGGATTTCCGAAACGTTATCCGAACTGACTGATGCGAGAATATTCATCCCAGCTAGCTCTAACCACGAGGAGCAAAAGCAGTGCAAATTTAAGTTGACTAGTACTTTTCACGATAACAATGAGCAGTGGCGGGTGGTGAAAGCAACAGTGGTGCAGAAGACATCAGCATTAGGTCATACTCGACAATTATTTAGTTTTATTAAGCATACTAGCAAGAGAGGCAGTATCATCGAAAAGGATAGGTCTCTGATAACCCTCAGGACAGATGGATAGAACGTTGGGCATAACACTGAGGCCTAGTTCAAATGGTCAACTGCAACGTTTCAGTTGCTCAGCAATCAGTTCGAACTTGAAGGGAACGTAGATATCAGTCCCCCAACTCTCCTGAAAGTTGGTGCTCTGCCACCAAAAGTTTTTAAGGATGGAGGTAGGGATTCACTGAGTACAGGTAACGGAGGTAGTAGGTAGCGCATGGGAATCAAGGGTAGTGACGTCGGTCTGATTTACTTCATTGATCATTCCAATCATCAATAAAAGAGAGGAGTCTTCTTGTGGCAAGTCTTAGTTATACAATCATAGGCGAATTAGTATGACTGACATATCTAATATCCTAAGGGTTCATACTCACTGAATGCTCAAGATGAGACAGCAAACAACAAACTTGTGAAAACCAGGCAGATTTTAAACCTGAATGAGGATGCATCGACTGAACCTTCACCCTTCGACAAGCTTAGGAACACAGGCATACTTACTAGCAGCCGACACTTGGCACATTTCTTGATCTGAAGGTGGCGTTTATCTCCATCGATCGAGAGGTGCGCTAATGTGTAACTTTAAAGGGAGTATCGAGGTAATTCATGCTTATCAAGACTCACAGTCACACAAGAGTTTACATAGAAGTGAGAGGGTGAAAGCAGCTGTCCTGCGCTTATCAACGGAATGGTGAATACTGAGGGTCCACCTAGGGGAGTTGGAAAACTGATTTCAGACGAATGGTGTTTATGGGCTCCAAGTTCCAGATGAAATGAATGGCGTATGAAAGTATTACGGTCACTGGAAACCATGAGGATGCAATTCCACTGACTTGTGGATTAGACTCTAAGTCGAAGGCTTGAAGAGTGGTCCCCCTAAACAACCACCTGTTTCGGCTTGGGTGCCCAGGCAGTATCTCACCCCTCACACAAAATATGAATTTAAAGTATAAAATGATGATTTCGAAGCAACTAACCAACTTCCCTGCGAATAATTAAGCTCTCCGCACTACGAACTCCATCACTGACTGCTCAACTTATTGCTATCATATTGTTTTTGTAGTTTTTACACATGAAGTATTTTTTTATAACCGATTTCGCTTTTGTCTTTTTCACTTTACTCAGCTGCTCTTCATGATTTAAACTTTTAGTCTGTCTGTACCATTTTCAGTCACTAAACAGCTGCCCTCCAGTGCAACATCTGACACAGTTAACCTGGAACGACGTGTACCGTTTGAGCTCGCAACCTTCAACGTCCGCACCTTGATGCAGATTGGACGATAGGTAGGTTTGGCAAGGACTGTAGAAAGCCGCACTACTGATGTATGCTGCGCCTCAGACCAGCATACAAGATCTCAGTGAAGTGCCTCAAATTAGTTCCCCATGGGTCGGTTCGAAAGGTATGTTTCATGTGCGCGTATCCAGAGACCCTGTGGTATCGGTGCCGCATTGAGCACTCGCGCCGAAGCTGAACAACTTGACTGGATCCCCATCAACAGTTTGTGTTGGGCTAGAAGGTTCATCTCGAATAAGTAACCGACAAGAGAAACGGTGTCTGTTTGTCATCTCTGCCTGTGCTCTGATGGATTACAGTCCAGACGCAACCAAGGATGAATTGTATCACCAACTGAGTGACAATCTTCAGAGACATTTGTAACGCTGGATCGAGCACTTAGAAAAGCAGTTTAGCTGGCCCACGGCTCCAGCATCCTCAACCTGTGTATCGTGCTCCATTTTCAGTTAACACTGACCCACCTAACGTAGCGGGGACCAGTAAGGAACTTCAAGTTCGGAAACGCCACAACGTACCCGGCACAGACAACTTAATTCCGGCTCTTTTTAAGGATGGAGTAACGACTCTAGTCAGGGAACTGATTAGATTGTTTGAGAAGGTATGGCAGATTGTATACCACTACTCTGGAATGAGACCATCGTTGTGCCCATCCTCAGAAAGGGTCTGCGTAATGCACGTGACAGCCATCGGGGTATTCGTCTGTTACCATTCGAGTCGAAAATATCGGCTGCTTTCATACTTCGCAGACTTCGCAAGACGCGTCAGAAAATGATTCGCGAGCAGATCGGGTTTTGTTTAGATCGCGGATCCACTGATCATATGTTTATCCACCGTCAGATGCTTGAACATCGCGACAAGTATTATAAACCAACAATCGTTGTGTTTCTTGACACTAGCAATACCTTCGATTCGCTGGACACATCCGTACTCTAGAACTGTCTGTTAAGTGAGGTAGTGCCTGAGAAATTTATTAAAATCCTGAAAGTCCCACATAAAAACACCTCAGGTAGAATGAGGCCATGCAACCACCTGTCTCTATTGCTCGAAACCAGCAGTGGGGTTAAGCAGGGTTGCCCGACTTCTCCATGCCTCTCGAAATTTGCCATAGACATTTTTGACACAGCTCTCAAGGAGGTGCGTGGTGGTGTGAATCTACAACCCAGAGAATGGCCATTCGACGTTGAATATGCAGTTGATGTCGTCCTACTGTGCGATAACATGCAGGATACTCAAGTGGCACTTAATCAGTTAGCGATTAGCATCTGAAACCATGGTATGTGCTTTTCACCATCGAAATGCCACATACTCTTGCAAGTAGCCAGAAAGTTCGCGTATCTGGGTAGTTGTGTGTGGTGATGAAGGTGTGAACAATGACATTTCTAATCCCATATCGAAAGCTAGAGTCTCATACACCAATCTGGGCCACCTTTGGAGTTGTCGCGATGTGAATCTGACTGTAAAAGATCGGGTTTACAACGTTTAGGTGAGAGCAGTTTTGCTGTACACCTGTGAAACCTGGCTTCTCCGAACTGAGGAGGCGCAACGACTGTGTGTTCGACCATCGTTGTCTCCATACGACTGCTTGTATCCGGTGGCAACGCCATGTGAGTAAGTAATTGTGAGGTACAACAGCGTGTTATTATCCCTCAATACGTCTTCGGGAAACAACGTCTTCGGTGGCTTGGACATGTTTTACGCATATCGTCCCAACGGCTTCCCTACCGCTCATTGTTTATAACCCTGGGATGAGATGGAAGGAGTGGAGGGATGGTCAGTGTATGACGTGGCACCGTGAGATGGAAAACAGTTGTGTCGAATTAGCATCTCTTGGTACATCACGACTCCCTAGGTGGGGTCCTAGAGACCACACAACTCACTGGATTAGGGCGTTATCAGATATGGCTGAGAATAAAAATTAGTGGCGGTCATTCTGTAGCTTCCTTTTATCTTCTGCTGCTGAAAAGTAATGAATGTATCTTGCTGGACTGCTTTTGGAGTAATTCTATTCTTATTGTGTTTCTCTCTATCCACTTCTCCTTGCTTGTTTTCAAAATAGTGTTATATTACTTTGTGTGACGCATTTCTTGTGTTCTAATAATAATAAATTAGGTGAAATTGCCTTCCGATCTAATGACAATCAGTGATGTCCACTGTCACCATTCCATTTGAACGTTGTTGTAAACGTGCCAATGGTTACGACCCTGAGTACCTCTGGCTTTGCAGGCAAGGATCAGTCTAAGTCCAAGATAGCACCTGGTCGACTTTGTGTAGACAGACGAAAACACTGACAAATTGCAGAGCTTTCTGCACGCCTTG